TAGATGGCTATTACTACCTAGAGTTTGACTGCATTCTTGGATTCGATCTTATTTCATCTTGCTATTATTCCTACTTCTTGCAATTATCTTTTCTTTTTCAGTCGTTCTCTAGCCGAGGGTCTATTGGAAACAGCCTCTCTGCCCTTCCAGGGATAGGGGTAAGGCTGCGTACATCTTACCCTTCCCAAACCCCACTTGTGGGAAACTACTGGGTTTTTTGTTGTTGTATACTAAGTTTTTCCCTCCCCGATCCACCTTATTTTCTTTTCCATCATACTTGTTTTGTTGTTCCAAATCTTAGAAAAGTAATATCCGTGTTCCATTCTGGGCCTTGCAGAATACTTTTCGGACTCCAGCTTCTATTTGTTAGCTGAATTCGATAAAATAATGGTCTCCGGAGATGTTTAATCTGCAAAATTTACTCTTATTTCATCAATTCTCGTGAACGTAGAGTAGCTAATGTTGTTTGTGTAGCACTAGATTTGGCATTTTGCATCCAGTTCCATTGTAAATTATCATATTTTCTTCCATTAATTCTCTAGGCGTCAACCAGAAGTAGGAACCATGGAGAGATACTCTAGAGAATAAAAGATTTTAAGATAAGTAGAAGTAAGACATAGTATAAGCACTACCAGTGTAGTTACATGAGAAAGATGAGGGTGAAACGGAATTAGAGGTGATTATTGTGCCTAAATGTATACAGTTGAGATATCCAAGCTTAATTTTGTAATACATAGAATTAAAATAGGTGGCTGAAATGATGAGTGCTACGAGATTGCTAATCACGTGATTGCTTCCAGTTTTAATGCCGCGCCAGGTTCTAATTTTTTTGCCTTAATAGGTATTGCCAGTCTAGATGAACTAGTGCGTCATTTGGGCATATTTGTCTTGGCTATATTCTGGATTTCTGTACTGTTAATTCTCACCAGATAGTAAACAATAGGAGTTCCTTGGCTTTTCTGCTATCATATTTGAATATGATCAGCCTCGCCTAACAATAAAAGAAAGATTAGGTTAAAAGCTTTGTTGTGGTGAGCTCCTAACTTCATGCTCGCCCGAAGGCAATCTTGTAGAGCAATGTTTTTGAGCATGTTTTACATATTTTTTTAACCTATTCATCTTAGCTTTGACTTGATTTTTTGAGAAATAGCGAAAACAATTTGGAATTGGCACATGATCAGCTCAACTGAACTTTCTTTGTGATTCAAATAGGTGACGTCGCAACATTTTTTTTTAATTTTATCATTTTAAGGTCAACACGTCAGGTCAGAATTGTAAATCATGCTTGAAGAACTAGTTCCCAGCCTACTTTAGTGCTTGAAGAATCTAGTTCTCGGCATACTTAAGTTTGATTGGCTACCATAATAGATTCTAGACCAGGCAGAAGTTCAAATTACTCATTACTATAGAGAAGCCAATCAGGTGGCTGATCTTCTTGCCAAAAAAGCTGCAAACAGTGGCAATAGCTCATAGCCTCATACTACTACACATTCCAGCAATTGCCTAGAGAAGCTAAGGGTCCTTTTCACGTGGATAAATGACAGTTGCCTAGCATAAGAAGTAGATTTGACAAAGCCACTTTTTTGTAAGTTAATGTATTTTCTTTCCTCATGGAAGAGAAGCTGCATATGATTAGCTCTTTCATGAGTTTTTTGAAGGCTGTTTCAGCTGCAGTCCAGTGCATATGGAAGGTCAGGTATATGGGCCCCCTTCTCTTTTGTCATCTTTACCTTCTATATACATGGTAGGGGTCAAGCCAAACCCCCAACACCTCCGGATCCTTTCCCTGGCTGATGGCTTTCAATTAAAAAAAAGACTACCATAATAGAGGAACATAACTATCTCCACAATGAATTCAATTCCCACTTGTGAGCACTGAACTGTTTCTGTTTTCTGGTAAAGGGGGACATGCCTTCGCTTGGCTCACAATTTCAGCAAGCCTGTCCCTCCACTGCCCCCCAATAAAAGCAAAGATAAATTTCTGACATGACAATGAATTTTCTTATGCAGTATCACAAATTGGCAGCAGAAGCTTTTTACTTGATGGCCATTGTATATGACAAGCTGGGGAAGCTGGACCACAAGGAAGAAGCAGCTTATTCATTTAGGAAACACATCACTGCTCTTGAAAGCTCTGATATTGAAGATCCTCTTCAATATTGTTGCTAAGAACCAGTATTTTACGTAAATATGCCCTTGGTGAGTGATTATTTGCCTCCTTGCAGCTACTTATAAGAGTAGACTTTAGCTCTTGATACAGAATTGTTCACTAGATCGAACAACGATTCCGGGGTCTATTGGTTAAAGCATGTATCAACAGGATAATTTTGTAACTTCATGTATTTGGAACCAAAACTCTTGCTGTCAGCATGAATTGACGATTTGAAAGTCATCGTATTAATTGGAAGAGAAGTGTGCTAACAGAAGGAAAAATAAGCTGAGATGAATACGACGTTCTACCTTGTACTATGTAGGTTAATCGAGAGTTTGCGGTTTTCTTCAATTCCGAAAGAGTATGCTTGGTTTTAAGAACAAGGAACATTAGCTAAACAATTTCGTTTGACTGAAACTAGAGAAAAGAAAATCATCTATATTCCGTGCTTAACTGAAAAAACTGAGAGACAATAGCATAGCTGGAAGTTAGTGTAACACCTAGGTGTTGCTCTTCAGTTGTTATACAAGAAAAGACAATTTTATTTATTTATTTTTGTTGGGAATAACCCTTCCCCATCATGAGTATTGGACATTTATCTCCTTGCTCTACAAAAAAAAGCATAATACCTCCCAATGCTCTTAGAGATCAAAATGGGGGCAACAGAAGAGTTCAGAGTTACCTGATAAGGACTATCCTTATGCATGATGAGTTTGCCTCCGATGCTTTTTGCCTTTCCTATTGAATCCAGGAGGTTCCCTTCCATTTACAGGGCCCACGAGTAAGACAACTAGATCAAAAGGAGAAAAGTTTTCTTAATCTAGTGGGAGTTGCTTTGCAAGAGCTATCTAATTAAGTTTTCTTTTTCCTATCACAGGCAGCTGGCAAATCCGTGTTCGACCACCTCATACATGCTTTTTTACAGCTTCATTCATGCACCATGAGAAGCATTCTAAATTTCTAATGGAACACCCATGTGGACATTGATTGTGATATAATCATATAAAGGCAGTGAAGATATCATGGATGTGGTGGCTTTCCGATTGCAATATTAGAAACGCCTCAAATTTCTGGGCAAGTGTATCGTCACTATCCTCCAATATCAGATTGAGGCACATTTTTGTTGTTGATGGTGGTTGAGTAACATTAGCGCTAGATGGCCATGCTATACCAGTTAGAGTGTACCAACACTTTTGAGTATGATTGTTGGAAGATTACCATGATTTTGTTGGCCCGTTTGCGAGGCCGAAAAGGCTAAGGCTAAATGATTACTCGGGGGTGTTGAACTAGATGTCCACAATCACTGATCGGGAGATAGAGATCTAAAGAAGCGTCCTGAAGAGATTGTCTAGGGTAAGAACCTTTTCCAACTTTTCTTATGTTGTGTAAGATCTTCTCTCTTTGTACAGATTGTTCTACAGGATTAGCAATATAGTAGGATATCAGATATTAAATACGTCATAAGACTTTGAGCCATGTTGAAAGTTGAGATCTTCAGACTTATCACCTCATCAACATGATAAAATCATTTGACACCATTGGCGTGCAGAGATTTATCCTGAACCCAGATAAATAACTTAGCAGTAGTAATTGTAGGGTTACCATAGATGAAAGGCACCATTATTGTGAAGATAGGTGCTGAAAGCCTGAAGAAGAGCTTGGAGAGTTGTGGGAGTGGATCGGATAGCCTCAAAATACCTTCTATATGTTGAAGTATTTTATGGAGTGTAGAAGGGGAATATGTATGACTTGAGAGAAAGTAGACCAGAATGAACATCCAAATGATGCTAGAGAGAAGATAAAGTTCTTCTGATCTTCCATATTGTGATACCATCTGGAGAGAGAGTGTCACAATGCGTAAGAGAAAGGTGTCGGAGTCCCTTTCACGAGCATTACAAAGAGGGTGCTGATAAGAAATATGTGAAAGTCTACATTTAAAAGACGCCCTTTTATAATACGAACTTTGCCTATGCTTATGACACAATTATATTGAGTCGCCTTGAGTCACTCCTATGAATTAGCTTCGAGTCACTTAGTGAATTGTAATGAAAGAACCAAAATACATTCATCATAAAGTTTATATTGCAATGAGGTTGAAGGTTTACCTTTCAATTAATAAGTTATCTAATCTACCATGGAAGAAGAGAACTCATTGTGTATGATACGACCGAAAAAATTCGAACACGTACTAGTTCATGGAAAGGTAAACTCCTACCTAGTGATGGAAACTGTAGCATAGAAAAATTCTAGTGGATGAGGTGATTAGGAAGAGATTTGCCTTCTGCCTATCCGTGCTTACAAAATTATTAATTTTGTTGGGGAAGTGGTTATTCAGATGCAAATTTGCACAAAAGAGACTTTTCTATTTTCCGTCACGTAGTTAAAAATAAAGTTGATTGGAAGGTAACTTTTCTTCACCTAAAAGCTGGTGTGACTCTCCAAATCACGTAATATGTTTAATAAAACAACTCTAATGTAATTAACCTATTTCATATCCATATTATAGACCTGACCTTGTGACCCGTTTTTTAAAATAGGTTAATTTACATTTGACTCGGCAAGCTTTTAGGTGAGAGAAAAGTTACCTTTCGGCTAGTTCTATTCTTTAGTTAATTGGGCAAAAGTGAAATGATTTTTAAGTGACCTTTATGCAATGATCTTTCACTTAAATGACCACCGATGAAATGTTTTCCAATATTGCTTACTAGTATGAAATTATATTTCATTAGCCGCAAGTTTTAATGTCTAAGACTATACTTTACAAAAGCATGTGTTGCGCGGTGGAACAATGACATTAGAACCTCAAAATTAAAGATCGTATATCATGCTATGCGGGCATTCATTTGTTTGGCACTTTAGTATGGAAAGTCAATACTCGTTAGCTAGAGTCATCTTTGGTTTATGTGCAGATTGTAGTTATGCTTTAGAGGAAAAGATCTCCGTCGATCATCAAACTGTACATGAATTTGGCCAAAGACTAACAAGATGCAACGACCCTTTTTCACTGCTTCATAAATTGAGCTTTCAATGGCCATTCTTTCATAATCCCATGTTCCAAGAAGAGTTAGTTTTATGAAATGTGCAAGTACAGAGATATTGCATCACTATTACGGCATATTGTGCCAATGAATGCCCCTGATTCGTTGCTTTTCACATTCAATGTTCTTGGAAGCTTGTGTTGAAACTTTGCCTTTTACAACAACGGAGATAGTTCCATATGGATGGTTGAAATTGGTGCAAATTCTCTCTGTTGCGAAACGTATGGTGTCCCAACTCTACTAAGCTGTTCAAGTTTTGTGGGATGCAAATGTTTAATGTTCATGCCTATTATTTTATTCTAGGGATAATTTTAGAGTTACTTCGTAACACTAACTTTTTACGTGATTTACGATATTAATTTTACCTCCGTTATTTTATGTTATTTGTAATAATTTATTTATTCTGTTTATCATTATTTGAAAAGAAAACACATGCCATTTTATCACCAACACTAGCAAACTACCAACTCCGCAGGCTAACACTCTTGTCAATAGGAGAATCACATCCCTTGTGATTCAGTTTAAATGGTAATTTTCTAATTCTCTCGAAGGTCAATGTAATGAACGCAAATTCATGGCAAGTCCAATTTAAATTTTATTTTTCTTATTTATTGTTGAAAAGTAAATTAAATTGAAATGTAGTATGCACTCTATTGATATCAAATGAATCAAGCAAACTTTTGATTTAAGCTTGGTCATCATCTCTAAACTAAGATTATCCCCCAACTAGTGAATATGTATGCACTTCGCGCGATTATAAAAGAATCTCAATCTATGAAATGATAAGCAATCCAGTATCTTCGATATTGAAAAATAAAATACTTGTAAGCAACATACATTTCGGTTAATAATATTTTGATTGTCACAAGAAAGTCTTCTTGGGCATCAAATGGGATTGATATTTGGATGAACAGTACGATATGCAACAGTAACAATATAATAGCAAAAAGCTTTTTCGGTTCATCACTCTTTTTCATAGTTATTAGCATATGCCTTGGAATAATTTTGTCCTTGTTATCATTAGCCGCATTCTTAGTTAATTTTAATTTCTATAACCATTTATTACAAATTAAGTTCACTAAAACCATTTTAGAAAACTATATCCATATTAGTATTTGCGGATTTCACCTCTAACACAAGCCAAACTATTAAAGTTTAATTTTTTCCCTCTAAAGTGATTATGTCTCGACCAAATATATATACGGACATAATGACGTTATTTCTCAAAAACTATAAACAAACCTTCTCTTATGTAGATGTTAGTGAAATAATGGAAATGAAGTAATAATCAACTAATTTCTATACTATTGAGGCAATATTCTTTATCATTTCTATCTTTGACAACTTATTATATTTCCACTAACCACCAACCAAATTAATTCTCGTCTAAGAGAATGGACGAAGAAGGAACCAAAGCCAAGGGCATATAAACAGTCAGTATGAAATAAACTTAATTTTCATCTAAATTAAGGTACCTTACATTCAGCAAAATCTGTCGAGATATTTTTTATTTTTCGAAGATGAACTATCCAGGGAAAAAAATTATTCTCAAATTACTTTAAATTTCATCTCAAAACTATATATGTAACTCCACCTCATTTCTTGATTTCTAAGATGACAAAATAATTTGATGTTTTTATATTAACTAATTCCCAAACACAATTCCCATTTCATTTCAACCCAAAAAGCAAAAAGAATTGAAGAAAAGAGAAGAAATTTAAAAAAATGGTAAATAATTTAACCTCACTAAACTTGGGAATATTTTCTCATGTCCATTTTCTTCACAAGTACTTCACCAATCTAATAGATTTGCTTAAACACACTAAAATTAAAATAAAAATCATTTTAGGCAAAAATAAGTAATCATTTCCATTTTCTTCTCTAATAAAAGTGAACGAAACAAAATTAAATTAAACCTCGTTAAGAAAAGTATATATTTTTTAGAAAACCTACTTGAGGAAGAAAATAAAAAAATTACCGCCACCCCTCCCCCAAATAGATTCATAGAACCAAACAAATTATCTACTCAATGGAGTAGTCAGAATTTTGCAAACCCACAGACAAAGATAAGTAACCAAACAAAAAGGAAATTTCTCATAAAATAAAATAAAAATAAAAGAAAAAAGAAAACAAAAAAGACAATTACTTATTCTAAGTACGTGACCTCTCATAAAACATACTCTTACGGTCCTGCTACACAGACATGAAGAGGATTACCTTGAATTCAACAGTCTAAAAATAACCCTTTTTATGGTTTCTTGTATGCATCATCTTCTTCGTCACTAATTTCCTTGTTGAATACTGATTGTCTTCCAATTTAAAGATGATTAACGGTTCTCCTTTCTTCCAAGACTCCAACTACTACAGGTGAACATATTTTAGCGCAAGTCATCAATTACAATTGCCAATAGATAAAGATGGATGGCGATTTAATAGAAAAAGAAATAACATACTACTAAAAGAATGAAACTTGGCCCACGCCTCCTATTTGTTCAGGGCTATTCCGGTTATTCCTTTCCGGCGGGTGATTTATTCATGAATTCCTCTCTCACTCATGATGAAAGCTAAGAGCTTGCTCAACCTGCTCATGGCTAGATCGATCGGTTTCGGAAGCCTAAGCCAAGAAGGTACGAACGAAGTGACGGGCCCCTTTAGAAGATAGGGGACGGCATCCAAAAATTCGAGAAGAGTGCTCGGACTTGTTTTCCCCCTCTTTCCTATTCAAGAGTTCTCCTTTTAGGGGATCTGGTCGAAAAATCGGCCGGCGCCCACCCGACCAGAGGGACTTAGAAATTAATTGAGTACAAAACTTATCAACCAAAAATAAACTCATATAAAAAGTGAAAAAAAAAGATGCTAGAAAAGTTCATTCCGTATCCAGAAATTAAAATCTGACCATAATGAAGAATTTCACAGATTTACGAGCAACATTTGAAAGAAAGATACACCTAGATCACCATCTTAGGCTAACTGGTATAATCCTAATCCTCCAAAAAGATAGAGAAGATAAGTGAATTTGGTGCTTGTCATAGTAAGTTATCTTGCCGTTAAATATTTGCTGGGCCGAGGGAAAGGTATTTAGCAGGAAAAAGTGTTATCATAATAATAAAAAATGTCCTTTTAAGTTTTTTTCTTCTTTTAAAGTAGCACATTAGTAGATGAAACGGTACATGTAACAATTACTGCTTTAAAGGAAAACAGAAAGATTGCAGTATAAGAATTGGAAATGTGTCGTTTCATTTTTAATAGTTACTCCTACCACTTTTGGCTATTAAAAATGAGATGAGGTAAATGGAGAAATAAAGGGAAAAAAGTCAAAAAAAGGAGAAAATAATTAGCTTTTTTGGCCAAAGTGCTAAGTCAGCACTCTTTTTCCATCCTTTTATATATATATATATATATATATATANGCTTTTGTCTTTTCAGTTGGAGGGAAGAGGGATTATCATCTTTTTGATTAGGGGAATAGATAATAGAGAAAATTAAGTTCCTTGACTTTAATCATAAAGAAGATTTCAGACTTGTATTATGGTTAAAAATGAATTAAACTCAATTAACCAATAATTTTATGTTTTGAATTTAAAATTTAAGCAAAATTTCATATAAACACGATTATATTTGTCTTTACCTATATTTCCCCTATATACTCCATGTCCCTAACACAAAAGATAAGAAGGAGTAGGGTGTAAATTTCAAACAGAATGAGGGTATTTCTATAGTAACAGAGAAGTAGAAGGATTTTCGTACTATTTAAAACCAAACGGAAAAATCTCAAACTGTTCACTTTTCACTATGTACTGTACTTCAAAACAAATAGCCTGTTGGCCAAGGTGAAAAAATCTTTTTCCAAAAGTTCTTTTTCAATCTGAGCACTTTTTATCAATAATTTATGTTTGATCATATTTTTCAAAAAATACTTTTAAATATTAAATTATGAATAAGAACATGAAAAAGTTTACTTAATAGTTAATATTATATAAATAAATAAATAATCTCAAATATTTATTATTAAAGATAATAATTAAGTTTTTTTATTTTATTTAAGTAAAACATAAAAATAAAATTAAAAAGTACTTTAATTATTTTAAGATGATTTAAATATATCAAAAAAATTATTTAAAAAATATAAAAACATTCATCCCAAATGTCACTATATATTAAAAAACTATCCTAAAATAAAAAGAAATATTAATACATTAGGAGAGTTCAATAATATAATGTCTAATTGTAAGTATTAGGTTTAAAATAAGTAAGGTTATTTTACTATATATCATATTTTACTAAGGATATTTTTTACAAGAAAAAAAGTTAAAACTGCTTCTGCTTTTGCTTCGAGAGAGAAACTACTTTTTTCCGTTACACGTCAATATATTAGTACCCAAAAAAAAAGAAAAAAAAGAAAAAGAGTCTCTCACTTTACCTAGCAATTTTCTATTGGTCCGTGGTTTCCACGTTTTGACTCTTGACTGGAATTGTTTAACACTATCACATTATTCCCAAAGCCCAAAGGGTCCCTTTCTTCAAAGCTTGGAGCATGATAAGCACGTGTACTTTACCCCAATTTATAATTCTTTGCAACTCGGAACGATCCAAATATTTAACCCCAATATTCTAGACAAAAAAAAGAAGAAGAAGAAGAAGCCAATATTCTAATAGTAGTAGTAAATATTTTACATAAAATTATACCAGTTTTAAAATTCAAGTTTATTTATTTAGTAAAAAAGTAATGATATACTAGCATTTTTCAGTTAAATTGTTATTATTGTACTAAGATATTTCGATATTGCATTATAAAATATAAATCATTTATAAGATGAAACAAAAAAAGTAGTACTATAATTTTTGAGAATATTAATTGTTCAAGTTAAATTATCAGCCAGCCACTAATTTAAATAATGTAAAGTATAGGGTATATTTTTCCAAAATATAGAATATAAATTAATTGACTCATATTTACTCAACTCAAAAAGTTTTAAACCAAAAAAACTTAAAAAATTGTTTTATTGGGCCGAGTCTCCTCTATATGCAGAATATGAGTACAAATTTCACTCCTTGATTCTTCACGCCCTTGGCATTGGTAACTTTCCAGTTTCTATTTGAGGAGAAAACTCAAAAGGGAAACAATGGAGAAGAAGAAAGAAAATCCATTGAAGAGAAACTTTGAAGACTTATGTAATGAAGCTGAACAAATGGCTGTAGAGAAGAAGCAGAAGGAAGATTTTATTCCAAGAGAGTATGCAAGATTTTTTGGGTTCTTATATATATATTTTTTAAAACAAGTTGTTGAAATTTGATGAAATTGCATGTTTGGGGCTTTTTACTTTTCAGTTATCAGTTGGAGGTATATGAAGTGGCAATGAGGAGGAACACTATATGTGTATTGGAAACTGGGGCTGGCAAGACATATATAGCAGTGATGATGATCAGAGAAATTAGTAAAACATTGAGGACTGGTGATGAGAAGAAGTTTATTGTATTCTTGGCACCCACTGTTCATCTTGTTCATCAGGCATGTCTCCTTTTTTTTTCTTTATCTTTTTCATACTTGTTCCTTTTTTTTGGCCAGAATTTTGGTTGAGTAAGAGAATGTGGTTTAGAAAGTCTTGATTATGCTGGGTAAAGTTAAGGTTTTGGACTAAGTATAACCAGCACCACTGTTGGAAAAAAATGGTGAAAGAAAAGTCCAATTATGATCTTTTTTTTAGGTTTGAGGTTCAAATCTTAGGCAGAAATATTGGGTGATTTCTTCCCATTCGTTGGTAGCAGGTACCCCTGTAATTAGCGGAGGTATGCGCAAGCTGACCCGGCTAACATGGTTATCACAAAAAAACTATGGTCCTCTTTTTTAGGTCCCTTTTTTTCTGTTTTGTTATTGCACTTGATATTGCTATGTTCCCTTCCCATAAAACTTGACCAATTTACTATTCATCTGGTAAATGATATACTTTCTTCATCTTGATGGTTTTGAATTTTTTTCCTTTTTTTTTTCTTTTTTTGTCTTTGGTTAAGAAATTTTTTTGGTTTTTTGGTTTGGTTTCGGATGAAGAGTTTAATTTTTTTCTTTTGGTTTTTGGTTCAAACTCGGATCGTGAAATAAATCCAAAAAAAGAATTACTGATTGTATGCATTTTTCTTTCTTTTGCTGATAAGTTGCTTACAATATATGTTCTTATACTTTTATTTAGTATTTAAGTATCTTATGTTTTCAGAGAATTTGCCTTTCACAGCATTACTTAGGCCTGTGGGCTTCTTTGGAAGTTTCAGTCTTTTTCTACTCACTTATGCAACTAATGAGTATTAAATGTTTGATTTGGAATTATGTGACTTGTGGTGAAGATAATGTGAATATCTATTGGAATTGTTTGTGATTTTTGTATGGAGTACCAAGATTATATTCTTGTTTATTTGTTTAGTATGTTTGTTATTTTGCACTTTGATGATTTTGTTTTCCTTAGTCATTGTGAAATCTTTGAATGATACATTTCCGAATATACAATTACTTTTGTTTTATGAGTTTGAATGTCAAATATTAGTTTAAGTATCACTCTTCCAATAGAAAGTTTTTGCAAAAAAGTGGCATTTTGTTGTTTTATGAAACTATCTCTTTCTGTAGAAAGCATGCTAGTATCTACATATAACTGAAGTTCACTGTCTTTATCTCTTTATTTTTATTATTATTTATTGATGTTTGATAACTGAGAAATCCTCGAGGGCTAGTGACTCACGGTTCAAAGCTCGGTGGATAATGGTGCCCGTCCCTCTGCTGTCAAAATGACTTAATTAAACCATGCCCATTGTATTGGAGTATGATACTTGACTAAAAGAGGGAAGAGTGATTACTGAAGAGGAGAGCTATATTCTTCTCAGAAATTTATTGAGGTCACAAGCCCAAGCGTGAAGCAGTGGGATAGATGTACTCTGACAGACTTATACAATAGAAATCTCTAAATGAAAGGACCAAAAAGAAAAAGAAAAAGAAAAATAGAAATCAAATTTGTCTTCCAAGGGGAAGTACTTGATTTTCAAACAATGCCACTCAAACTTTTAGAGCTTCCACTGTGCTCTATTCATTAGAAGTCCTGAACGCATGTTTCATTCCAAAATTATGACTATAGAGGGGCTTTGAGCATTAAATGATCTGCAATCAACTTTATTCTTTTGATAAGGATTTGCAATCAACTGAAAAGTTTGAGTTTGAGCTTTTATCAAATTTGGTACTTTGGAATGTGCTCACTTTTGATGATACTAATCCTTGTTTATTTACAACATTGTTGCAGCAATACGAGGTTATACGACATCATACGCAGCTTGCGGTTCAAGAATACTATGGGGCCAAAGGAGTTGATGACTGGAATGTAGAAAAATGGAAAACCGAAACTGATGATAATGACGTAAGTTGTTCCCTTTCTTGGTTTTCTGCGCTAAAGTGTGTTTGTGCTGAAATAATTGTATGATAATCGATGAAGCTGATATCTAAGGTAACACAATCTGTGCCAAGGTGAAGGTTACTTTTCCAATCTCAAGACACGACTAGCTTTGTGGTTCTGTAGTCAAGATATTATTATTTGATAGATAGTCATATGTAATAATCAAAGAGCATTCCTTGTTCACTGAAGTAAAACTCTTAAACAGGTCAAGTCCCACCATGCACAAAGCTTCATATCATTGACTAGCAGATTTGTATGTAAAGTTATTTGATTGCCCTGCTGAGGATATGGACACCGCACAAACATTTTGAAAGAAAAAAAAAATTCAAATCATCAACCTTTTGATTTTATGATTGTAGTGCTTAATGTCTCTACCTCCACAAGATAAGAGTAAGGTCTGCATACACATTACCCTTACCAGACCCCACACTGTGGGAATATATTGGGTATGTTGTTGTTGTAGTGCTTAATTTCTAGTTGAATATATTTTAAACTCGTAGGCTCTGTGCCAAGCATGTCGCTTTCTGGTTGTTGATCCTAATATATATGATTCGTCTTCCAAGCATTGCAAAGATAGTGCCGCACTTAATATTCTGTGCATGCTAATTGTGATCTTAGTCCGATGGAAAATCAATCCACGCCAGTGTTGTCAAAGGCGAAAACCTTTAGAAAGTGCTCCAGGTCTATTAGGGCTTTAAGTGCCAAAGCAGTGGGGTGGACTTGGAGTAAAAGATCTCAGGGTATTCAACAGAGCTTTGCTGGGGAAGTGGCTGTGGAGATTCGGGGTAGAAGAGCATGCTCTATGGAGGGAGGTCATAGTAGAAAAGTACGATTCCACGGGAGGGGGTTGGAGGACCAAGGCAATCACAGCACCGTTCGGGTGTGGCATGTGGAGGAACATCATGAAGAACTGGGAAGCTTTTTATGGCAACATCACTTACAAGGTGGGAGATGGAAGGAGAATCAGCTTTTGGAATCACAGGTGGTGTGGAGAGGCTACTCTGAGGGTCTCTTTCCCCCACGTCTTCAGAGTTTCAAACCAGAAGGAATTGATGGTCCAACAAATTCGCAAGAAGCATGAAGGGGGATAGTATGGGACCTCTCTTTTAGAAGGAACATGCAAGATTGGGAGATTGCGGAGCTCCAAAATTTGTTGGCACTGCTATACGGGCAAGATATGCCCCATCCATCTTATGATTCTTGGAGATGGGGGTTGCGTGGCGATGGCTTGTTCACCGTAAAGTCCTTCTACCAGCGTATGTTGGTGAGACAGGAGACTACTTTCCCATACTCATCGATCTGGATTCCTAAGGCGCCCACGAAGGTGTGCTTCTTTGCATGGCTAGCAGCGAAGGGAGTGATCTTGACATCTGAAAATCTGCGAAAGAGAGGAATTACACATGTTAGTTGGTGCTACATGTGTAAAAGCTCAGGGGAAGAAGTTGATCATCTTATGCTGCATTGCCCTGTGTCCTGGGGTTTATGGAGGGCAATTCTGAATCTTTTTGGTGTTCAATGGGTGATGCCAAACACTGTAAAGGAAATGGTATATAGCTGGGCCGGTTTCCGTAGAAGAAGCAAGCAAAAGGCGTGGAAGTTCGCCCCGTTAGCTCTCATGTGGTTAGTCTGGGGAGAGAGAAATAAGAGAGTTTTTGAGGGGATTGAGTCTCCGTTTCCACACCTTAAAAATAGTCTTTTATCTTTGATCGCTTTTTGGTGCACACATGTAGCCCCTACTTGTGTAGAAGATTGGGCATCATTTGTAGAGAATCATGTTCTGATGTAAATTCTCTACTTTTTGTATACTTCCTGTATGCGGGAGTTTTTTCTCCCTTTTGATTAATACAATTTACCTTGTCAAAAAAAAAAAAAAGTTCGTTGAGTCTATCAGATCCCACATTGGACTCGGTCATACTATTTTGACTTGAAACTTTTGCGGTTTTGATTTCTTTATATTGACTTCTTGCTGAGTAATGCTACCACATGTTCTTTTAAATAACTTTTCTAAAGAGTTTAATATATATAAATCATTTAAATTCTCCATTTATGAATGTGCTTTAAATATTACTTGATATAACTGCAATTACTTTTGATCTCACAGGTTTTGGTTATGACACCCCAAATTTTCTTGGATGCATTGAGAAAGGGTTACATAAAATTTGGTAGAGTGTGCTTTCTGATACTAGACGAGTGCCATCGTGCCAGTGGTAAACATCCCTATAAAATGATTATGACGGTAAGCCTCACTTCTTTCATGTGACTTTTTCTTAATTCCCTTCTTAAACTTTTCTCGTCTTCTCGTTATCCTGTTGGACATGCTCCTGTGCATCCTCTATAACCAACAAAGGAGTTCTATCATCAATCCACAAGAACATCAAAGGTTTTTGGGATGACTGCTACCCCTGTGACTAGAAAAGGTAACTTTTGATCTTCCTCAGTTTCTCGTGCTCCTCGTGCTCTGCCTGCTTCTCGTTGCCCAAATCATCCCTCTCATAAATAAATAAATAAATAAATAAATGAAACATATAAAAGGGATTTTTCAGGCAAAAGAGGAAACTCTAGCATCGCTTATGACGAAAGGGAATAGTAACCCCCACCCCCAAATATTTTCTTCTTTCCTGTGAATGAGACCTTTTAAATTCACTGTTTGCTTGTTTATCAATGTGTCACATGATGACTGATAGTGACAAATATCTATACTCCTTGGTCCAAAGTTAGTTTAATTGGAACAGAAATAGATAGAGTAACAAAATGATTTTGAAAGGCTATCTGGGACCCATTTTCATTTAATGGGTTTAAGAGTTTCTTTTATTGACCTTTTTCTTCCTCGACATAGTTTTTCTGCTATACTATCTTTTCAATTGGACTAGGCTTACACTTTCCTTTCCTTTGCAGTTGGTCAATCTTCCTTCCAACTTTTATTTTGGATATATGCTAATACTTTTTATTTGCAGCTGTCTTAGCCAATATGAATTTGATATATATGGTTTTAGATCTTTCGTGGATTTACTTAACATACCCTCTCGATCAGGTGTTTCATCTTCAACAGACTGCGAGGAGCAAATATCAGAACTTGAAAGTCTTCTTGATTCCCAGGTAATCTTCTGGCAAATCCTGTCACCTTGTTGCAGCTTGTGAATGGTTTTGTTAATCGTAGCCAGTGTAATGGTTTCTAATGCATGAATATATGGTTTCGTCTTGTATAGATATATGCAACAGAGGAGAGGGTGGGGCTGGACGAATTTGTTCCTTCTGCAAAGGAGACTTGTAAATTCTATGATCCAATAGTGTCTTCGACTTTAGAAATAAAGGCAAAATTGGAAGCTTCATGGTCAAAGGTAAACGCCCAAATGACTATACCATATTAAATAAATGATATGGTCCGTACATTGTAATCTATATCCATTTAGTTCTTTATGTTTATTTTCTTTTCTTTCGTGTCTGCAATCTTTAGATTTTGAAATCAAGGGTGATCTCTGACCATTGTTCATTAACGATATTTAAAAATAAATAAATGAACGTTTAGAATTGTGAGAAATAAGAGAAAGGGAAAAGATAATTGAGAGAGAGCATAAAGACAACCGCCCTATAGCATTTATAAGCACATTTTACAATGTTTACATCCAGTATCACTGGCAAATCTATGACGACCATGTTTCCTCCTCAGGATATCACTTGTAAATATACAACATACCATGAGAATTAAGAGATACGAGAGAAAAGATTGAGAATATATGTGAATACAATCGTCTTGCACCTAGGCTTTTATTAGACTACTTTACAATGTATATTGTACATTTGACTGATGTTAGACTTCGGTATATGCATTATGATATATTTACATATCTAAGCAACTATCTAACAGAAACTAAATTAGTAGAGATAATAAACAGTAGGGACTGTTGTGATCCGCCTCCCCTGTTCCACGCGCCCTTACTAATAAAGGCTCCCATTGGGAGAAGCAGAAATTGTTGAGTGACGTGGGGACTCGGGTCGGGGCGCAGCGTAACTAAGAGAGCCATTCCATTTAGGGCGAGACAAAATGGGCGGGGACGGGCACTCTGGTGTCCGAGACGATTGGTCAGACAATGACTACTTACAAGGAAAGAAAAAGAAAAAAGAACATAAAGTTTTTGTGAGTTGGGTTAAAACTTTAAGAGGGTGCCTGTAGGTTTTATCTTTACTTCCCCTTATGTGGTCTTATTGCAGACCTACTAGATGGTTTTGGGTGTGTGAGTTTTACTGATCTATAAGGATCCTCACTGTCTTGATGTTTTCCTATGAAAGGGCACAGTTCAATCTACACTTTCAATAGGTTTCAATGGTGGTGTTTCCAAAAACTTAAATGATTAATGTTCTGCTGAACTCCAGGAATGTTAAGCTCATCCATAACCTTCAAATTTTGCCCTAACTCTTCCTCTACCCGTTTTCTGGAGTGGGTAGGGAAGTGGATGTAGCCGTGCGCTTGCTTGTGTACTTAGATATTGGGAAAGATACATTGTTTATTCAGTAATCCTTGGTGCTTTTCTGGATGTTGATTATGAAGTGCTTGTTGACACATTTCCCCGAATGAATAATATGCTTCTTGGGAATCTAAGGAGCTAACTTTTTTTCAAAGCTCAAGTCCCTTATACTTAATTCTCCTAATTTTCATGAACAGTTTGATGCTGCATTAGTTGACTTGCAGCTGTCAGTATCAAGTCAGTACAAAGATACAGATGACAACTATATGAATCTTTGGAAGAGATTATCCAATTTTTATGCAAAGATATTGTGTTGCCTTGAAAATCTAGGCATCATATGTGCGTATGAGGTATGATTGTAGTTTTACGTTCTGTTATTTGCTTTCATTTCTTGGTAATATACACACTAATTGAAGGGCATGCATGCATCTAGCTACTCCAATGATGGAACTAACTTTCGTCTTCTCTTTCTGTTTAAGGAAGCATACACATTCATTCATACATACTGACATATATCACATCTTCTACTAGCTTAAACTTTAGAGGAAGCGGTCACACAATTCCGCGTGTTTGGCCATGAAAGAATTTGGCTCATGTAAAAGGCCAGCATATGGGGGACACAATATAGACTTAAAATAAAGAAATTTGCCACCTCTCTAATTATTTAAGCTTTTAAATGAGGCAATTTACACAACTCAATAGAATCTATGTTTATAGCTGGAGCATGCGTTATATGACATCTTTTTATTCTTAAACTTGGAGAATTATTCGGCAAAGCAAAGGTCTTAGAAAACCTTCTCTTCTGTGTTAAAATTCTGGTTTCTAGACTCCCTTAACAGGGGATAGCCTGGGAAAAAAAGGGAAAATAAGTCCTTGTTAATGGATGTATTTCTGTATGAAAGTTGAACAAACAGTCAATCATGTTCCATGCATTGTGAATGGCTGCTCTTGTTGCACACTAATCTATGTCATTGGAGGTATTCCATGGCTCTGCTAACTTCTGTTAGAAGTCCTCTTGCCATGGATTCTGTGTGGGCAGCTTCATAAGAGTTTTCAGAATTCTTTCCTGAATGCCTTTATTGGTGCATATGGCAGGAACAAAATGGAGGCCCCCCNGGACTGCAGATGCCATTTTACATATTCCAATACCATTGCATGCGTGATATGTAAGATCTATTGGAGTAAATACTAATGAAAATTATATATTTTTTAAAAAGAAAATGTAAAAGTGCAGGATTCTCTTTTTATTCAAGTCGGCTTCCAAAAGTTTCTGCACAATTTTCCTTTAGTTCTTAGTCAAGCTAAACAAGACGTAAATAAGGGTGTTTTACCTAATAAAATCAGGCAACGAGCCAAAAAAAGATTTCTGTCCGGTGTAATCTAAGAGATCCCTTAAAGACGAAGGTTTTCATACGCACCATGGATTAGGTTAGTTGACGTAACCTTTTGTTTCAGGTAGCTTCGTATAGTTTTTTTGAGGTCCTTGGAGCTATTGCCAGTTGTACATCTATGCGGCACTAGCTTAATGCTCATTTATGACTAAAATTTACTTATCCAAATTAAGGAAATACTTTTTGTTCTTCCGGATTGTGCTTGCTTGCCCTTCTTGAATGCTTGTCTTGTTTGCGTGAAGATCACTTTATTCCTGAAGGTCTATGGGATATGGTTGCTGCAAAGAGTTACTTCATGGAATCTAAGCTCATATAAAACTGCTTTTGATGTACTATTTTTTTTAAAAAAGCTGGTGGTTTTGATTTATTCATCGGCTTGTATCAATGAGTATCCTTGTTCTCTCATTAATCATCTATTACTAACAAAATATCTTCTTCTGTCCAAAAGCAAAAAGTGGAGTTCTTTTCCTAGAAAGTTAAGGAAACCTGTTGGACTTTTTTAATAGGATAATAAAAGTTTATTAATGAAGGGCGAACAAGCATCCGTAGACAAGTAGTATACCAAAGAGTAGAAAACCTTACAAAAAGATGTGTCTTTCTTTTTAACGAACAACAACCAATCTTCTATACAAATAGGAACCTCGTGGGTGCATCAAAATGAAATGAGGGATAAGAGGCTATTCCTCAAGTGTACAAAGTCCTTCTCTATCCCATTCAAAGCCCTCCTATTTCTCTCGTTCCAAAAGAAATGAGGAAACCTATTGGACGTCTCATCTTCCAATATAGCAAATCAAAGTAAGAATTAGGAAAACTTAAAAGAATTGAGTCCTCACTGAATGAATTGTAATGTGGTCAACAGTGACCTTATGAAAGGTGTTCTTTTCCTCTGACTAGTGTACTTGAATTCTTTTTTCTCTGTTGCTTCAATGTGCTTTCTTGGCCTCTATCCAATTGATGAACTCAGCATCCCTGCATTTTGTGGCTGCCTATGGCTCGGTATTGTCTGAATCTTCATGCAAGAAGAAGAATCGGTTTACCAGCCACTACACATCTGTAGATCCCATCAAATCATTAAACCTGGAGGCTGCTCGCCCTTTGATCCCTGTGGTTAGACTTACTGGCCGAGAAGGTTAGCGAGGTTCCTGCCATGGTGAGATGGAAGATCCTTCACTATAGTGGGAAGAAGACACATTTAGTTGGTAGAAGCTTGGGTCTATACTGGACTATCAGGACTTTTTTCTAAACTCTGGCTATCTCTACCAGCTTCTATGTTTTCTTCAAGAGTTCTGCATCCCTTGTCTGACATTCCTTTCAAATCTATCTACTATTGTTTTGGAATTTCTTAAATCTGGCTCTGATAGTTTTTTCATCTCTCATATTGTAGGCTGTTACGGTCTGTTTGGAAAATGTCCCTGATGACAAAGAGGAAAATGAGATTCTTAGGAAAAGTTCTCTCCAACAGAGATACTTCTTGGAAGAGGCATTGTCAATTATTCAGGAATCAATGCCACAAGGTAATTGAGTTTGTTCTATCTATTGTTTATGCAGATATGTTTGCAGACCTCTTTGTTGTCAACGTTATCACTATTATTTTTAGGGTTCTTTTTTGGGTTCTTCTTCGATTGCAAACAAGTATATTCTATCATCCTGGTAACGGAACTTGACTTATGATTCTTTCCGGTGGAGGGTTTGCCATAGTTCCAGCATTTCTGACATAGATTTCTTGTTAAGAATCTGTTTTTCTTTTGATCTGAAACAGTGGGAGTATTCATTCAGCTCCTTGTTGCTTCCTCAGTTTCTTTGCAAATGTTACACATTACTTTTAGTGTACCAGGAGCTCATAAGGTTCTTCTATTGACTGTCCTTATCAAAAAAGGTTCTTTTATTGATTGTATTGTAATTGATCTCTTTTTCTTTCTCCCTTTTTTTTCAAATAAAACCACCTTTTCGGAGATCATTTCTTGCTCACTCTATTTTACTATGTCATAAATTAGGCATGTTCCTTTCATTTACATGCATATCTTTTTTCACTACATGCTACTTGTTTTCTAGACCTGTGGACATTATTGAATCAAGATCATTATATTTTTCCATAGAACCTTCTCCCATGTCAACTAATCCATCAACCAGGACAGCTATATATATCACATTCATTCTTTCTATATCCTTTTGTTCTTGTTTTTTTCCCTTATAAAAAAAAGTATCATTGTGTTACAATTTCTTCTGAGCTTTGACAAAATTGTAACTTGGTTTGTTTCCTGTAAAGAGTTGTTTTCTGCTGATTGGTTATGTTTTTTATGGGTCAATTAGTGTAAACACTGCTAGATAGCTTCTGCTCCATCTTTTTGGTTCTTGTCTGTTCTGCAGTAGATAATAATTGAATTTTCCCGTAATCCTGCTGATTTGGCTTTTACCATATTAACACTTTAAAAATTCCAGATTTTGAGTTTTGAGTTCTTGGCAAGTTTTGATTTATTTCAATTCCCCAGACTGTGAGAGTCTTCTAGATGTTGGATATGACTCGTCAGCAACACTGTCAATGGGCCATATATCTTCAAAACTGCATGTGCTTCTTGAAATTTTTAAATCCCTTAGGTAATGAACTCGACATCTGGTTCTGTTACCAAACATATTACTATCTTTAGATGTGTCTTCTTGGTATTCTCTTTCCACAAGCTTAAAGCTCCAATCCGTGCATGCAGGAAAGCTACACAAGTACGCTGTCTCGTTTTTGTTGAAAGAATTATCACAGCTAAAGTAATTGAAAGAGTTATGAAGAAAATGACCTGGTTTTCAGATTTCACAATAGCATATTTGACTGGAACAAACACATCAGTTGATGCACTGACACCAAAAGTGCAAAAAGAAACCTTGGAATGTTTTCGCTCTGGAAAGGTACTTACATGTATACATCCCATTAGATTTGAAATAAATACTTTCTGGTGAGTCCCTTTAACTAGTTTGTTCTTATCTTATATTTTCCCTATTCTTTTTATCATTACAGGTCAATTTATTATTTGCCACTGATGTGGTTGAGGAGGGAATTGATGTTCCGCACTGTTCTTCTGTGATACGGTTTGATTTACCAAAAACAGTTCGAAGTTATGTCCAGTCTAGGGGACGAGCTCGTCAGACTGAATCTCTGTATATACTAATGCTTGAGAGGTGAAGGAACTGCATACTGACCTGCNCTGACCCGCTTTTGGCTTTCATAAATCTATTGATTTCAAGTGTCTAACCTTGATTTTGATTTCAGGGGAAACATGAAGCACAGAGAACAGATGTTTGATATCATTAGGAGTGAATATTCTGTGACAGATACAGCTATAAAAAGAGACCCTGATGTCTGTGTTGTGAAACCTTGTCTAGTGAAGGAAACTAATGTATATTATGTGGAGGCAACTGGAGCTTCAGTAACTGCAGATTCTAGTGTCAGTCTCTTGAATAAATACTGTGAAATGCTGCCCGGAGATAAGTATGGATTCTCATATCTTCAACTCAAATAATGAATTTTTATTTATAAGCGCACACAAATTTATGGTTAAAACCAGAATCCAGGACCCCAGATTAGATTATAACGAGTTTTGATGTGTTTCCTGCTTAGAGCCGCTTGGGAACGCGTAACTTTTTCTTGGAAGGATATAGAAATCTTGAAACAGTTGGTTACATGATGTTATTGTTTCGATATACTTGAGCACAAGAAGGATCTAGACTGGAACACTACTATCATCAATTACTATCAAACCTTCAATTTCCTCATTCTATTGTTTGCTTCAAAATTTTGTAGTTGACACCTGTTGGCTTCCAATAACTGGCCCACTGCTCTCTGCCTCATGCATGAACCCTAAGCTCAGTAACTTATGGATAGGCCTGTGGTATGCAAAATCCTTTTAACTTAGCCAGTGTACTTGCATGAGAGTACAGGAGGTTTGTGTATGGGACTTTAAGTGGGATACAGTCTATTTACATCTCATATTGGACCATCATCGATATTAGTGTTTTCATTTGTTACAAGACTTCCGAAATTCAAGGTACTAATCCAAAAAGACAAGAAAAAAAGAATGGAACAAGAAAATAACTGGAGGAAAAGAGACAAAGAAAATAGCGTAAGTCTTGGCTGTTGCACAAATGAAAGACAGCTTGTGTGCAAAAAGCACGTTTTCTGCTCTTCATAATCTACAACCATTAGGCTTCTTTAAGATGCCTACTACTAATCCAAAAACAAAAAAAAAAAGAAAAGAAATGGGAAACTTAAAAGAAAAAAGAAAATGTAACAGTAAATCAGTGGCTAAGTGATACTGAAAAAGACAGCTTTTGTACAAAACACACTTTTCCTTCTCTTCATTCTCTACAACCATTAGGCTTTTTAAAGTCCGTGGTGGTTGAAAGAAGAGAAATGATAAGTTTCTTTCGGGTTGTAGCCTAAGACCACTGTGCACTGATGACGTACTACCACTTATGTTCAATCACAATAAATTTTGATCCTCATATTTGATATGCTAAACTATTTATCAGATTTTTGTTACTTGTCCCTACCTTTTTGTGGTGTATACATTTCCTGAACTTACGGGTCAAGGTGAATCAGACACCTTGAGTCATCCGTATACAAAATGCAACACAAGTCCAGTGAATCTAGCTTCCAGTGTCGTCTCCTCTCCATTGTGCTGATTTTCCCCCCTTACCACTTCAAACTTCAGATACTGGATCCTCTCCAAAGAAACTTTTTGGTGTACATTATGTAGACACTTCTTCAACAACGAGGTGTTATATTTTCAAGTGATGGGTGGCTCACTTCTTCAACAAGTTCTGCATACACCACAAATATGTTTCACATTTGACTGCAAGGGGCAATTCTTGCTTTCAATAAATTATTATGTCATGGGAGTCATCAGTTTTAAATTTTCCGTTCTGTATGAAAATGTTGCTCTTGGCTTTAAGTTCTCCTCTTACATTTAACAAATTTGATGCTTTTCGATACGTCCCGATTTAACTCTCATATTCCAGATTAAGAGTATACATAGAACAAAAAGATGGAATCCTATCTGTTTATTGTCTAAAAATATGATAAAATTTTTTCTCACAGGTTCTTCTCTCCAAAGCCCAATTTTGAGTACATCTTGTCTGGGGACTTGTACCAGTGTAAATTGACATTACCTACAAATGCAGCTTTCCAAACAATGGTTGGTCCAGAATGCAGGAATATTCAATTGTCAAGACAGCTCGTCTGCTTGGATGCATGTAAGAAGCTGCATCAGATAGGTGCTCTGAATGGTCATCTTCTTCCTCTCAATGAAAAGCCTTCCAAAAGTGATTTGCATGTGCAGGACAAACATGTAGGGGCAGGTAAACAGGAATAAGCTTTTAACTTTTGACCTCTGTCTTCTCTGCTTTTGAGTTCATCAAATTACACTCTAGCAACATTTAATGGGACCATGGGCTATCTTAAGATGCACTTGACATGATTCTTTTATTAATCCTTCCTTTATCAAGTAGTTAAACATAAATGACAAATCCATTCCTTGTTGAAATGTGTGCGAAGTTGCTCCCAATTTGTTGGGAGACCTATTATCATAGAACAATATTTTCGATGATGACAACTCTTGGGTTCTTATAATATTTGTAAAAAGGTAAGATGTATTGATGACTTGATGATAAAATAATACAAGACATGCCTTTTTTTAGGTGTCAAAAACAATGGCCATGATATTTCCCCAATTGTGGGATAATATCTGAAACAAGAACTTAATATTTCTATATTATCTTTTTTATTAGCAAAAATGATATATATTTTTTTGTTGAGAATGAACTCTTCTATTATTCTAACTCTAACTTTATCGCACTAACACTTGGGGTCGTTTGGTATGAGGTATAAGGTGGGATAAGATGTAGGATTAAATTTGTACTCTGTTTGGTTGGCGGTATAAATTTATCTTGGACTTAATCCTGGGATAAATTTATACCTCCAACCAAACAAGGTATAAATTTAATCCCAGACTTAATCCAGGATATCCCATCTTATCCCATCAAATGTGGGATTATTTTATCCCATCTCTCATGTGGTATAAATTAGTCCTGGGATTATAATCCCGGGATAATTTAGTCCGTGTACCAAACGACCCCTTAATATTCCAAATGTCTCTTCAAACTCAAGGTGAGTAAATCAACTTGAATTTCTTTACTTTGAACATAGAAAACCAGAGGTAAGCAGTCGTCAGAATAGTGCTATAGGACAAACTATGGGAAAACATGCCTTTAAAAATCCATAGAATCTTGCGGGGAAAATTTTGATCGTCTGAATCGTGATGACAAGAATGGCCAGAAAGAAATGGCGCCATCGAAACAATTAGTGGAAAGAAGCGCGACAACTGATAGGTGAGTAATCCAACTTGAATTTGTTCACTTTGAACATAGAAAAGCAGCAGTAAACGGTCGTCGGGATAGTGCTGTAGGAGCAACTATCGGAAAAATGGTGCCTTTGAAAGTCCATGGAATCTTGCCGGCAAAATTTTGGTCATCGAAATTGTGATGAAAAAGTTGTTGGAAAAGTAACGACAAGAATGGCCAGAATGAAGTGCAACCGAAATGATCACTGGAAAGAAGTTCACCACAAGTGGTGGTTACCGTGTAGAGGCGTGTTGATGCTGGAATGATCAACAAAAAATAGGCTTGGTGTAGCTAGAACGATCACCAGAAAAAGGAATGGTGTCATCAGACGGTTTCTGTAAGAGACAAGAATAATAACACTGTGAAAGGAAAGAAAAATTTGGCAAGGAGGCAATGCCGCCTACTTTGCTCAGACCATTGAAGCTTTGGTACCACGTTAAAAGCAAAGATGTATTGATGATTTGATGATGGTGTGGAATACATGATAAATCTTATAGGTGTCAAACACAGTACACATAACTCTTCTCCAGTGTGGGGCAATATTTATCTAAAGATTAGCTCTTCTTTTTAATACTCTAGAGTTCTATTTGTAGATTTTGAGAAGAAGAAAAGGCTTCTTCTATTTCTGTGTGTTTCTTACATCCCTAAACAAAGGTATTTATACACTAGGTCCTATGACTATTTTAGGAAGGTAGATAAATTACAATCAATCAGAATAACATAAAATATCAATTAGAATCAAATCAACAGAGTCAAATATTTCCTAATAATTAAGCCAATCAACACTCCCGCTCAAGATGGTGCAAAGATGTCGCACATGCCCAACTTGCAAACCAGTGTATGAAAAGTCCGTTTGTTGAGACCCTTGGTAAACACATCAACTAGCTGTTTTTCTAACTACACTTGAAACCTAAGTTGCTCCGACATGGCAGTTTAGGTGCCACACCCGTGTCGACACAACACTAGTATGGGTGTGGGTATGGGATCTGTACCGGATCTTGTCAAACAATTTTGGGTACTTTGACCACGACAGACAGAAAAATTCGAGACGAGATACAATTTGATTACCGAAATCAGAACTAAAACTAGGGTAAATTTGAAGAAAATAACATATCTAGGAAATCAATCTTTTACTTATCTACAACTTGAGAATAAAAAGGAAATCCACACTTTACAAGCTATACGTAAGTATTCCATAAAATTTCTCATAAATTAGAGAGATTTTTTTTTAAAATTATTTTTAGTCGGATCCCCGCACCCGTATCCGTACTAGGATCCGTATCCCTGAATCTTAAAATTTACATCTTGAAAGATCCGACCTCTAGATCCGCACCCGTGTCCGAACAACTTAGCTTGAAACAAGCTCAAGACACCACTCGTAACTTTTTCTTTGATAAAGTGTCGATCAATTTCAACATGCTTTGTTTGGTCATGCTGGACTGGATTATGAGCTATGCTGATGGCAGCCTTGTTGTCACAATATAGGGAAAGTTTTCGCTTTTCAGAGAGTCTTAATCCCTCTAGTAATTTTAGTAACCAAAGAAGTTCACAGACACCCTGGGCCATAACTCTATATTTTGCTTCCACACTTGATCTAGCAATTACACTTTGCTTTTTGCTTCTCCAAGTAACCAAATTCCCTCCTATGAGTGTACAATAACCGAATGTAGATCTTCTGTCATCTAAAGATCCAGCCCAATCCGCATCTGAATAGGCTTCTGCCTGAAGGTGACCATATTTGGAGAAAAACAAACCTTTGCCAGGAACAGATTTCAGATACTGCAAAATGTGAAAGTCAGCTTGCATATGAGGATCTCGGGGATCATGCATGAACCGACTCACCAAGTTGACAGAATAGGCTATGTCAGGTCTAGTACGAGAGAGATAAATGAGTCTTCCAACCAACCTCTGATACCTCTCCTTACCAACCGGCTCTCCAACTCCTATTTGTAACTTGTGATTACTTTCAATGGGCGATTCTGTTGATTTGCAACCTGTCATACCAGCTTCTTTCAAGAGATCCAAAATATATTTTCTTTGAGAAATAAAGATTCCTCGTTTTGATCTAGCAACCTCAATTCCCAAGAAGTACTACAGTTTTCCTAGATCCTTGATCTCAAATTCCTGTGCCAATAGCTTCTTCATTCGATTCATCTCCTCTTTTTCATCTCCTGTCATTAATATGTCATCAACATAAACTATGAGAAGAGTGAGTTTACCTTTTTGATGTCTTATGAAGAAGGTATGATCAACATTGCTTTGTTGGTAGCCAAAGGAGATCATCGCGTTGCAGGATCTGTCAAACCAAGCTCTAGGGGATTGCTTCAGTCCATACAGGGCTTTCTTCAGTTTGCACACCTTTCCTTGACTTTGTTCAGTATCAAATCTAGGAGGAATCTCCTTATACACCTCTTCTTCTAAGTCTCCATGAAGGAACGCATTCTTCACATCAAACTGTTGTAAGTCTCAATCAAGATTAGCCGCACAAGACAAAAGAATCCTGATAGTGTTCATTTTTGCAAAAGGGGCAAATGTCTCTTGATAATCCACTCCATAAGTCTGAGTGAATCCCTTGGCCACCAGTCTTGCTTTGAATCTTTCAATCGAGCCATCAACTTTGCGTTTCACAGTGAAGACCCATTTGCAACCAACTAACTCTAGTATGGTGGTGAAGTGACAAGTTCCCAAGTTTCATTTTTTGACAAGGCCTCCATTTCTTCAATCATAGCTTGCTTCCATTTAGGATCTGCAAAAGCTTCCCTCCAGTTTTAGGGAATTGACACAGAAGAAATAGACAAGGCAAAGGCTCTATAGGAGGGAGACAAAATTAGATAAAGGCTGTTTGGAGGTGCAAGATCTGACTCCTTTTCTGTGAGCGATAGGCACATCTAACTCATTAGTAAATGTAGATAACTCACCGGTAGAAGAAAGTCCAGCTTTGGTAGATTGCATGATGGCTTATACTACTCTATTTCTCCTTGAGTACGTTTTCAAATCAGGCCTATCCAAACGCCCAATAGTCTCCCCCTGAATTCTTTCTCCAATTTCACTTTCCCCTGTGACAATGTCATCAAGAGGTCCAGTAATGGAACTAGGTAGAATCACATCTTCCTCCTTACTGCTCTCCCCTGAAAAGGTGATGAGGTAATACTGAAATAGGGCTCAGATTCTCGAAAGGTAACATCTATGCTAACAAAAGATCTCGTAGAGGGAGGATGATAACATTTGTAACTTTTCAATGTCGGAGAATACCCAATGAAAAAATATTTTATAGCTCTAGGATCAAGTTTCTCAGAATTCCTAGTATGGACAAAGCAAACACACCCAAAACATCTTTGGAAGAACAATATATTCATTAATCTTCTGTGGGGCTGAAAGACTGCAGCTGCAGTACCTTAATCTAACCCTTCTTATTTTTGAATCTATTTATGGTCTACACATAAACATGCTGAAAAGCATGATATATCTTGTCAATGTGGTACCTGACTTAGATGAGCTGGCAAGTATAATGAGTTGTGGCATTGGCTCATTTCCTACTACCTACCTTGGACTACCCTTGGGAGCAAAACATAAGTCAGTGGAGGTGTGGAATGGTGTGATTGAGAAAGTGGAGAAAAGGTTAGTAACTTGGCAGATGCAATATCTCTCAATGGGTGGAAGGGTGACTCTGATCAACAGTGTCTTGGACAGCATACCAATCTACATCATGTCCCTCTTCCCTATGCCAAGTAAAGTCCAAAAGCAGCTGGACAAATTGAGATGATCCTTTTTATGGGAAGGTAACAGTGAAGGTAACAAATTCCATTTGGTGAAGTGGGCAACTGTAACTCAACCAAAGTCACTAGGTGGTATGGGCATTAGAGATCTTTCAAAACACAACAAGAGTTTGCTAATGAAGTGGCATTGGAGATATGGGCAAGAAGGCACAAGCTTATGGAAGGAAACAGTGAAAGCCAGAATAATTGGAGTACCAGAACCACAAGAGCTCCTCATGGGGTTGGGCCCTTGGAGCACATTAACAGTCTAAAGGAAGTCTTCAAACAAGAAGTATCCTTCAAAGTTGGTAATGGAGCACATGTGAAATTTTGGAAGGATAAGTGGCTTGGGAACTTCACAGTTCAAGAAACCTACCCCACTCTTTTCCACCTAGCTACTGATCCTAACTCAACAGTTGCACAGAATAGATCCAACAACACCTGGGAGGTTCTTTTCAGGAGAAACACCCAAGACTGGGAGATAGAAGAAGTGCTTGATCTACTTGGAAGGTTAGCAAATTGTACAACGAGTATCCAACACACAGATAAGCTAAGATGGGGCACTTCTAAGGAAGGGGCATATACAGTGAAGGCAGGTTACAATAAACTTTGTGCTTTGAATGAAGTTATTGACATGTGGCCTTGGAAGCTAATTTGGAAAACCAAACTGCCTACAAAGGTCAGTTGTTTTGTATGGACAACTCTTAAAGGTGCTATTTTGACACAAGACAATCTCTGTAAGAGGAGCTTCCAGATTGTGAATAGATGCCACATGTGTAAGCTAAACTCAGAATCAACCAATCACTTATTTTTGCATTGCACAATGGCTACTGATCTTTGGCACATGTTCTTCTCAATATTTGGTATCAGCTGGACAATACCTCAGAACATTAAGGAAGCAGTTGAAAGCTGGAGCTTTTAGAAAGTCAGCAAGGCCATCAAAAGTATCTGGAAAATGGTCCCTGGTTGCATATTTTGGTGTCTTTGGATAGAAAGGAATCGAAGATGTTTTGATGGCATTTCAACTTCTATTCACTTTTTGAAAGCTAGATGTCTAGTGTATCTTTTTAGTTGGAGTAATACTTCCCCTGTAAATAATGTTATTCCCTTTCTAGACTTTTTTGGCTCATGGGCCTAGCCCGATGGCCCATTTGTTTGTGGTTAGCTCCCTATGACTAGAATAGCACATGATGTACTGGAGCTAACATCCCTTCTTTTGTACTTATTGCNNAAATTGAGGGGTTTAAGTGATATTTTGTAATAAGATAGGAACCCACTAGAATAGCATCCCCCAGTAAGGTTTTGGTAGATGCATGGTGAACATAAGAGATCTTGCTTCTTCTAACAAATGCCTATTTTTTCTTTTAGCGGCTCCATTTTGTGCATTAGTGTAAGGACAACTAGTCTCATGGACTATCCCATTGGACTCCAAATAAGCACCAAATTTTTTATCCATGTATTCGCTGTCATTGTCAGTTCTCAAGATTTTTATTATGGCATCAAACTGAGTACAAATCATCTTATGGACGGACTGAAAACTAGAGAACTTCAGTTTTGGCTTTTAACAAATATGCCCCAAGTCATCCTAGTGCAGCAATCAATGAAAGTAACAAACCATCGATTACCAGACAAAGAAACAGTTTGAGTAGGACTCCATACATCAGAACGAATAGTCATAAACATAGTTGTGCTTCTATTATCACTCACAGAATAAGAGTTTCTAGTATGTTTGGCATATTCACACGCATCACAGAACAAAGATTCAAATTTAGTCCTTGAAATCGGGATATAACTTCTTCAAAACAAAGAATGATGGGTGTCTTAATTGTCTATGCCGCCGTATTATTTCTTGGTTGACATTCTTACTTTCCCCAAAAAAGGCTTGACCAGAGTTTTGAGGCTCGCTTCCGGTGTTCTGTGTGATAAGAATGTGCCATCAAAACTTAAAAGGAAAGTTCTATAGAGCGGTGGTTAGACCGACTATGCTGTATGGGGTGGAGTGTTGGCCAATCAAGAACTCCCCATATCCAAAAGATGAAGGTGGCTGAAATGAGGATGTTGAGATGGATGTGCAGGCATACCAGGTTAGATAGAATTAGAAATGAAGTTATTCGGGACAAGGTCGGCGTGACTCAAGTGGAGGACAAGATGCGGGAGGCGAGACTTAGATGGTTCAGCCATGTGAAGAGGAGATGCACAGATGCACCGGTGCGGAAATGTGAGAGGCTGGCATTGGAGGGCCACGAAGAGGTAGAGGTAGGCCGAATAAGTATTGGAGAGAGGTGATGAGGCGAGATATGACGTCGCTCTAACTTACTGAGGACATGACCATGGATAAAAAGGTGTGGAGGTTGAGAATAAAGGTAAAGGGTTAGGTAGTCGAGCGGTGTCCGTGTTTGTAGCAGTAGCTTTGATACACCACTTAGTGTCCTTTGTGTATTTTCGTATCTTCTGTTATTACTTGATACACCACTTAGTTTTGTATTTTCGCTTCGGTTGTCAGATTTGGTTTGCTTATTATTGCCCCTTGCATTTATCTTTCCTGAGCCGAGTGTCTACCGGAAACAACCTCCCTGCCTTCTTAAAGGTAGGGGTAAGAACTGCGTATACTCTATCCTCCCAGACATCACGTGTGGGATTATACTAGGTATGCTGTTGTCGTATATAAAAGTCATTACGCAATCTACCATTGCCAATCCTTTTCCCTGTTTGAAGATGTTTGAAGATCCTGAAAAATAAAATGTTCGGGAAAGAACTCGATTTTACAGTTTAGAGCTTTGGTGATGGCACTAACAGATAAACGATTGACAGGGAACTCCGGGACATGGAATACGGATGATGGTTTAATATTAAGAGTACAAACGACAAAACCTATTCCAGAGATAGGTGTTAAAGAACCGTTGGCTATTTTAACATTATCTCATTTGAGACACGAAAAATAGTTTTGAATGACTTTAGAAGAGCTTGTCATGTGTTTATTTGCACCAGATTTAACAATCCAAGAATTAAGGTGAACTGCAAAGGTAATACCTGATTGCACATAATTGGATGTGGCAACATTAGCGGAGTCAAGTTTGGCTAGGAGGTGACAGAGAAGCTGAATTTTATCTGAAGACAAGATTTCTCCGGAAACCGTTTCCTTGAATGCCTTCATATTTTCTGCCTAATCAAAAGAAAATTGCTCAAAAATAATCTGTCTGGACGGAATCTTAACTCCGGTGAACGGAAAAATCAAAACTGGTAGGGATAGGCTCGGAATGTTCCAGCGACCCCAACAAAAAAGTAAATTCCAAAAAAACAAAACTAACCAGAGTTTATGTTGCAGTGGTTCTTGGCCTCTTTGATAAAAACGGAACTCTAGTGCTGCGAGGGAGATAACTCACCTATAAAAGGCAGCAGTGACTCTGATACCATGTAGATTTTGAGAAGAATAAAAGGCTTCTTGTATTTCTGTGTGTTTCTTACATCCCGAAGCAAATGTATTTATACACCAGGTCCTATGACTATTTTAGGAAGGGAAATAAATTACAATCAATTTGTAATCAATTACATCAATCAGAATGAAATAAAATCTCAATCAGAATCAATTCTTTCCTAATAATTAAGTCAATCAACAGAATCAAATCTTTCCTAATAATTAAGTCAATCAACACTATTACCATCTAGTATTATTACAATATTTAATGCATGTCGTCAGGATGTAGAATTAGCTCGTTGTACATCAAATAACACATGTCAAGACAGTAGAGAAGAACTCTAAGTAAAAAAGTAAAACAAAATAAAGGAAAAGGAGGAAGTCAATATGGTGGAAGAGAGTTTCAATTTTTTTTGTGCAGTTGAACAGAGCAAAAATCTTTCAAATAACCAACTGCTTATGTTTAGGTTGCATGTGCTATAGGTAAATATATTAATATGATAAATCCTTCGAAGCTTTTGCAGCCAAGAAACTCAGTGTAATTATCAACTGGAAGCTTCTATGATAAATAAACTTTCAACTCCATGAATCTCAAGGGTGTTATGAAAGTTTCTGTTGATGTGAAGTCAACACAAATGTTGCTCTAGAAAATTCATCCAGCCACTTTCATGCCCTCTACCGATTAAAGTTCACATATCATTGGAGACTCTTATGAATTCCCGGTGAAAATATTTGATCTATTCTTCTTTCTGAATAAATAGCAATTCATGGAAGAATCTAAGAACAAGAAAGTAAGTTTTTATTCTTAAGGTGACTCTAAAATCTAGACCACAGTTAAGCTGCACCTGTTTTCATGCCTGGTAGATGCTCAACCTTGTTTATTTGCTTATTGTGATTGAAGGTTTATATTCTCATTAATATGTTTTTAGGAACAACAAAGTTGAAAGAATTACACGGCACAGCTCATATTAGTGCATTATCCGGGACGTGGGGATATGACCCTAATGGAGAAGTATTTCAGGCGTATAAAATGAACTTCTCTTGCAACATACCGGAAGTGAATTATTCCAGCTTTGTCCTTTTGCTTCAATCAGAACTAGATGATGATGTGGGAAATGTGGAAGTTGAACTTTTCTTAGTCTCCAAGTTTGTCCAATCATCTGTGTCGCATTGTGGGAAACTCCATTTGGATGCCCAACAGGTTGGAACCAAGCCACAGAATTTGAGTTTATATAATTCTATCATGTTGGCGTTTCATATCTAACAAGCATTAAACAATTTCATTGTCAGGTGGCAAAAGCAAAACTCTTCCAAGAACTATTCTTTAATGGGGTGTTTGGTAAATTGTTTGTTAAATCATCGGGTGGAAGGAAATTTCTACTTGAGACAGATGAGTCTTTATGGGAGCCATCGAACATGTACTTGCTACTACCACTGGATCCTTTAGATTCAAGTTGTGTACCTTGTAGAATAGATTGGGGAGGAATTGAATCATCTGTGTCAGTTGTGAAATTTTTGAAAAGAAATGCTTGGTTAAATGCTGAACAATCTGAAACTACCCGGAAGAATTCCTTAGTTGATAGGACTGCATCGTTTATGGTAGATCTCGATCAGACAGATTTGATTCACTTCGCCAATATGTCAGTCTGTAGAAGCAACCTTACGGACATGGTTGTTGTGGCCATTCATACCGGAAGAATCTATTCTGTTCTGGATGCTGTTGCCAATACTTCTGCAGAGAGCCCCTTCGAAGTAAATTCAGAAGCTACCCAGTCACCCTTTTCATCATTTGCTGACTACTTCCATAAAAAGTAGGAAACTTCTACCTAAATTACTATTTCTTATTTACTGTTTGAAAAGACCTGAGTATGTTAAATTAGCAATGTTCTTTTTTCTTTTTCTGTTTATTAGGTATGGAATTGTTTTAGTGTATCCTGGACAGCCTTTGTTGCTGCTAAAGCAAAGCCATAATGCATACAATCTTCTTGTGGATTTTCAAAAAGAAGGTTTGTCAAGTTTTTGCTGATTCTTGGTTATTATAAGTAGGCCATCTCTTTTGGAATTTACATCATTTTTAGAAGTACAAGACAGTGAGACACACTAGCATGTGTTGAACATTTCTATTACAGCGTGCCTAGGAGTTTCCTTCTTGTAAACAAGGAAAGAAAGTAGCAAACAGATTTAAATATATTAGCTTTGTGCCATTTAAGTTTTTCTTTTTGATAGATTTTTAGTTCTAATTTAATTTCTAACAATGGTTTTCTTAAAATATATTCTCGGTACATCCCCATTAATGGAGTGATCCACATCTTTACCCCTAGTTAGGTTCTAAACATGTTTGCTATAGGTCGCAGAGCATGGAAATTTGTGGGAGGTGGTTCTACTTATTACCAGTGACAAACCATGTGCAGAGATTGTGTGAACTTCGTTGGAGATGGATGATATTGTTTTGAGAAATGCAAGCGCCAAAGTAGTTGTGTTCTCTTAACTGAATCCAATAGCAGTTTGCCTTCTCCCGATTATAGATCATAGCATGGCCTTTGGTTCACATTAAACCCCATGCGCACTTAATCTGTAAATAGGCTAAATATTTTTTTTTGGTAAATAGGCTAATTTATGTCAGCAATTGCAGAAAGACATTAGCATGCGCCCTTCATAACCTCTTTAAAATGTATTAGCTATTTCTATTTTTTATCCATTGACATAAGTAAAGTTTTAATTGCTTGAATTAAGATAGTTCTTGTAGTATATCCAACTGAAGTTATTTTAGGCGGCTGTGGACTTTCTTCTGGAAAGTGCTGTGTGATTAGTAATTTGTATGAGAAATAAAGGCACTGGAGAAATATTTTATTGATATTATATTGTCTTACACCGAGCCCTATCTATATACAGACATTACATAACACTAATACTTATTCTCCAACGTGGGACACTAATATATTACTATCTAACATTCCGCCTTAAGCTGGTGCATATGAGTCATATGTACCGAGCTTGTTACAGATGTAATTAATACGAGGACCAGTGACGCTTGGTAAAAATATCTGCAAGCTGATCATTTGACTTCATGAACTTGTAACATCTCCTGAGAGTATCTTTTCTCTGACGAAGTGACAGTCAACCTCAATGTCTTTAGTCCTCTCCATTGAACACCAGATTTGATGCCATATGAATGGCAACTTGATTGTCACACACAAGTTCCATCTGACTAATCTCTCCAAACTTAAGTTCTCTAAGCAACTTGTTTGACCCAAATTAGCTTTTACGTTGCCACAACCATTGCTCGATACTCTACTTCTGCACTAGAGTGGGCAATCACATTCTGTTTCTTCCTCTTCCAAGACACCAAATTACCTCATACTAAAACGCAATATTTAGACGTAGAAAGGTCTATCAGAAAGTGATCCTGTCCAATCAGCATATGTGTATCCAACAATCTGCAGATAGCCTCGATCCTCGAACAACAGTCCCTTGCATAGGGCTGATTTTGTATAACCAAGAATTTGGACAACTGCATCTCAATGACTATCATAAGGACAGTCCATAAACAGACTTACAACACTCGCAAGAAAGAAAATATCAGGTCTAGTCACTGTGAGGTAATTCCACTTACCAACTGGCCACCTGTCCTGGCAGAAGTTTGGCATTTGGATCCATAGAAGTGTCAATGGGTCTACAATCTGTCATTTCTGTCTCCTCAAAAATGTCTAAGGCATATTTCCGCTGTGAAATAACAATACTCGAGCTAGACTGAGCGACCTCAATACCTAGAAAATACTTCAATCTGCCCAGATCCTTAGTTTGGAAGTGCTGAAAGAGGTGTTGCTTCAAACTAATGATACTATCCTGATCATTGCCCGTAATAATGGTATTATCAACATAAACTACCAAATAAATATACAGATTTGAAGCGGAATGCCGGTAAAATACAGTGATTAGCTTTACTACGAGTCATGCCAAACTCCTGAATAATTGTACTGAATTACAAAACCAGGCTCGAGGAGATTGTTTTATACCATAGAGTGACCGATGCAATTGACATACAAGGCCACTAGACTCCCCATGAGCAACAAAATCAAGTGGTTGCTCCATATAAACTTTATCCTCTTGATCACCATGAAGAAAAACATTCTTAATGTCGAACTGATAGAGAGAGGACAATGGCGAACAACATCCATGGATAGAAAGAGATGGACTGATGCTATTTTAGCCACGGGAGAGAAAGTATCACTATTATCAAGTCCTAATATCTGAGTATACCTTATGGCAATAACCGAGCCTTAAGCTGATCAATCTGGTCATCTGGACCAACTTTGGCTGCATAAACTCAACAACAACCGACAATAAATTTACCCGAAGGAAGAGGAACAAGTTCCCAAGTACCACTCGCTTGTAAAACATACATCTCGTCAGTCATAGCCTATCGCCATCCTGGATGAGACAATGTTTCACCTGTGGGCTTAGGGATGGAAACAGAAGACAAAGAAGATACAAAAGCATAATAGGGTGATGACAGACAATGATAACTTAAACTGACATAATATGGATTAGGATTAAGCGTGGACTACATACCTTTGCGAAGTGCAATCGGTGGACTAGAAGGAGACAAGTCCGCAGTAGGAACAGGGCCAGGTGCAGTTAGTGAATCAACTAGGTCTGATGCTGGACGCGGATGACGACGATAAGTCAAGAGTGGTGTTCCTGTGGTTGGAGATCTAGGAGGAGTAACACTAGATTCCTTAAATATCGGTATGGGTTAGACTTTTGTGGCCGGGGATGTAGGAGGAGCTATAGTAAACTCCTCAAGAGTCGGTATATGTAAGACCTCAGATATATCAAGGTGGTTAGAAGAGGTAAAGTAAGGCCGAGACTCACAAAAAATGACATCAACTGATATAGGGTATAAGGTACCTACGAAGATCAGGTGAGTAGCAACGATATACCTTTTGAACTCGAGAATAACCAAGGAAGACACACTTGAGAGCACGAGGAGCTAACTTATCTTCTTTTTTTTGGAGCTAAGTTATGAACAAAGCATGTGTTCCCAAAAACACGAGGGGGGAGAGAGTATAAGAGTGACTGAGGAAACAATACTGAATGTAGAATCTTATCTCTGGATGGAAGATAAAGGCATCCGATTAATCAAATAACAAGTCGTGAGAATTGCATCGCCCCAAAAACGCAGCGGAACATGGGACTCTTGGGAAATGTGCTAGCAGTCTCAATGAAGTTCCTATTTTGTTACCTCATTCTGCTGAGGGGTATACAGACAAGATGTTTGATGAATAATTTCCTGAGAAGTCATAAACTGCTGAAATTGGAGGATGATTTTTCTAAGGCATTATCATTGCGAAAGATGCGATAGAGACGCCTAACTGATTTTTTATTTCAGCACAAAAACTTTGGAATACAGAAAACAACTCAGAACGATCTTTCATTAGAAAAATCCAAGTATATCTTGAGTAATCATCAATGAAACTAACAAAATAACGACTCTACTTGGAACCCATATATCAGAATGAACTGAAGAAAAAATAGACTTTGCACGACTCTCAACACTACGCGAAAAAGTGGCTCGGGCATGTTTCCCAAGTTGACACGACTCACAGTCTAATATAGACAAACTAGGCACCATCTTTTGAAACTTGGATAAACTCGGATGTCCTAAACGTCTGTGAATTAGGCCCGGAGGATTTGTAACTGGACATGCTATGGAGGGATTGAGTGAGTCAAGGTAGTAAAGGTCTTGTGATTCACGCCCTGTGCAAATCGTCTTTCTCGTACTGCGGTCCTGCATAACAAAAGAATCATCCATAAAATATATACTACAATGGAGTGCACGAGTCAACCGACTAACAGATGCAAGATTAAAAGGACAGCCAGGGACATAAAGAACAAAATCTAAAGTGAAAGTATAAGGGATTAGTTTGTCCAATTTCTTTTGCTTTTGTTTGGATTCCATGAGCTAAAGTAACATTAGGAAGAGACTGTGAATAAGCAATATTTGACAAAAGTAACCTATTACCATAAATATGATCAGAGGCGCCTGAGTCCATGACCCAGTCCTAGAGTACTAGACTGGAAAACACAAGCAAAGAAATTACCAGCAACATGAGTATCTATCTGAGCTACAGAGGCTACTTGTGGAGGTGTCTGCTTACTTGCTCGATACTGAAGGAACTCATTCTATTCCCCTTCAGATAAAGAAAACCCCTAGTTACTTGCAGTCTCGGTTTTGAGCAACATGAGCAGTTTTAGGTGGTCGACCATGCAAAGAGTAACATACCTCAGTGGTGTGTCCAAGCTTAGTACAATAAGAACCACTTTGGTTGAGACCTTCCAAAGCGACCTCCTACTCGTCTATTCTCTGTAGTCGGAGATGCCCAATTTTCCGTGGATGCGACAACAGAGAAGTCAGTTGTTTGTGATGAGATCACTGTGTGATTGGGCACTGCAGCAAGGCGAAGTAATCGAGAGAATAATTCATCAATTGTAGGGACAGTCGGACTAGTCAAAATCTGGTCGCGTACTTAATCAAGGTCATTAGAAAGTTCAGCGAGTTTAAGAACTAGAAACATCTTCTGTTGCTTTTCAACACTAGTAGAAACTGACATCAACTTCTCAAATTCGTTCATGACTGCCTACTTGCCTGTACTTGTCTCAAGTAAGTAGACATTCTTGTTTTTTCAAGTTTGTCATCCACGATAATACGATATCACATCATAGAAGCGAGATATGTCACTAGTGTATAAAGTGCGAGTCTTTTCCTAAACTAAATGACATTTTTGGAATGGACGAAACAAGAGCATCAACTTGGAATCAATAGATCGTCACATGATACTATATACCTGAACATCGATCTTCTCAAAAAGTGCTTTGACCTTTTCATCTCCCTCTCTAGACTTTTTGGTTAAGTGATCTTGAATACTTTCACCCTTGCACCACAACTCAACCGAAGAAGCCCAAGCTAAGTAGTTTGAGCTTTCCATATTTCGAAGTAATGATACCACTTGAACTTCCAGAACCCGTATTTTTAGAACCAAAAACATCAAATCCCAAAGAAATCTTTGGATTGAAGAGAGGTTTAGTAAATTATCACCAAATATCGAAATAATCAACTGTAACTTGCTGAAACAGGCGAAGATCTTTGGATTGAAGAGAGGTTTAGTAAATTATCACTAAATATCGAAATAATCAACTGTAACTTGCTGAAACAGGCGAAGGAAAAGCTTCCGGAAAAATCATTGTTGCTGCCGGAACTTAGATCTGTTGCCGGAAAAATAAAGTTGTCTTCTGAAAGTGACAAAAGCTGAGTGAGTAGGCTCGGTTTGAGGAGAAAAATAGGAACAATCGTCGGTATATGGAAATCTCCGCCAGAAAATAGAAAAATGGTCGGAATTTGGTGTAATCTGGATAGGTAGGCTCGAAATCACCTCTTGAGTAAGCTGTCCTGAAGAATCTTTGCAAGAAACTGGCCGAAAAGTGGTACATGCGCCGGCGCATGTACAGATCTTTTCGGCGCATGAAAGTGTGTGGGGAAGATTTTTCCGGTGGGGTTCGTTGAGTTTGGTCACGGGACTACGGTGGGCCTTGTGGTGGTGTTGGTTTATGCATAACACCGGTAAAAATTGGTTTTGACGCAACAGTCACTGGAATATTTGCACTGACTGTTTCTTCCCGGCACGGAAGAAATATTTTATTGATATTATATTGTCTTACACTGATCCCTATTTATATATAGATATTACATAACACTAATACCTACTCTCTAATGTGGGACACCAGTATATTACTATATACATTACTCTAACAATTTGTAAACACATGCTACAAAAATCTGATCTGACACCATATCTGTAGATGCACATAATTGAAACTGAACTTGTTCTGGCAACATTTCTACAATCATACTCTTTTTTATTTTAAATTGGAAGTAAAGTTTGACAATGAAGATAACCTTTGAAGTTCAAAGTTGGTAAAGTTTTACCTGGGTTCTTTAGAAAGAATTGATATACATTGAACTTGTCACTGTACCTAATAGGTGCATTGAGCTCAGTGTTTCAGATTACATAAAGTTGATGTTCAGAGATTCTTTGAGCAGGCGTTTCCTGTGGAACAAATTCAAAAGATAGTAAAATGGTGGTCCAAAAGCCGCTGAATAATGTTCACATTCCACCAGAACTTCTGGTGGGTATAGACATTCGGATAGACATCTTGAAATCCTTCTACTTGCTACCCTCATTAATGCACCGTCTGGAGACCCTGATGTTGGCTAGCGAGTTGAGGAAAGAGATAACAAGTCATTCAGGCGATTTACATATATCAAGCTCATTGGTTCGTCCTATCATTTGCTCAACTATCTGAACAACTCTTAGACATTTGTCTAACTAAATATCCTTCTTGGTCAGATTCTGGAAGCTCTTACTAGTCTAAGATGCAATGAGAGTTTCTCCATGGAACGTCTGGAGTTGCTTGGAGACTCAGTTCTGAAGTATGCTGTTAGTTGTCACCTCTTTCTTAAATATCCCAAGAAGCATGAAGGGCAGCTATCTGATCAGCGTTCATGGGCTGTTTGTAACTCAACCCTCCATAAAGTGGGAACTAGTCGCCATTTGCAGGTATGTAAAGCTTTGTCTCCATAATAGAATTTATTACTTTATCAAAAAAAGAGTGTGTTTTCACCCGTTAACTGGATCAAAAGAGAGTGCTTGATTGGGACAACGCCGACACATATGTCTTTTCACTTTCCACATGTAAAAATATGTAATGGTAGCTAAAAGAACTAGAGAGCTAGAGCGAAATTCTTTTAGCCAACGATTTCAGTGTTTCAAATAAAATAGAAGTTGTAAAAGCGTAAGAACTATATAGAACCACCTTTGGCCGGTCCCACATTTTCCAATCCTTTACCTAGCTGCATCAATTACAGTGATCCCGAACTATGTCCATCGAAGTCAGAAGTCAATATGAAGCATTTTTTTTGTGAGTAATAAAGGAATATTAGTGATTATAAACAACTAGCACTAAGGAAATGTTGGGGCAAATGTGCATCCAAAAGAGAACCTTACAATATGTGTAAACTAAGAAAGTCAACTATAGCTTCCGGCTCTAAAACGTATGTCGTAGTTTTGGTGCACCAAAGACTAAGCACAAACATACACCTGAGCTTAAGATTAATAACATTGTCCCTCTTGTCTTCAAAAACTCTCGCATTTCTTTCTCTCCATATGACCCACCATACCACCTTAGGAATGCTTTTCCAGGCTTCTTTTGAAGATTTTTGAAGGTCCAATCTATGCCAGGATAGCAAAAATTCCACGGTATTATTTGGCATACACCATTGGATTCCCGCAACAGCAAAAAAGAGATGCCAAATCTGTTGGGAGGAGTTGCAATGGAGGAATGAATGGCTAATTTCTTCCGCCTCTTCACAAGGAGCACATCTGTTGCAAAGAGTAATGTCTCTCTTTTGAAGATTATCAAGAGTGAGACATTTTCTATATGCCACAATCTAAGAAAAACATTTAATTTTTAAAGGTGTTTTGTTCTTCCAAATAGACTTCCATGGCTATGTTAAGAGGGAGTACTGCTTGTCTAGGTTGTATAACAACTTTTCACAGAGAAGGTTCTGTTTTTGGATTTCCAGGATAAGGAATCTGGAAGAGAAGTCAGTGGGGGTAGAGAGTTAAGAAGACCCTTCAGAATCAAGAATTCTCCAATTTCCCAATCATTGGAGATTTCTTCCAAAGGGAATGAACCATCCCTGGGGAGTCCAATGTTCTACAATTGAAGAAGTCAATACGAAGCATTAAAAGTTTGCCAGTGAAAATCGGTAGTAAATAACAAATTTTGCTTATTATTAGCATGAATAAGAGATTGATTACTTGGGATGGATGAATTAGGATTCATAAGAGAGTCTATGGCACATAAATCAAGGCAAAAATGTCGTTAATAGCTTTTACGAACCGTTTGAAGCTTATCGTAGAAAATAAGCAGTAAATAGCTTGACTTTCTTAGTGTTTACTTGGATAATATGCCAATTACTTGGTTTCAGCGAGGATTGTAAAAGTTAGGCCTTGCTGGAGGATCTAATCACCGAAATTGGGATATTCCACAATAATCACAAAAAGGGACTCTCTTGCAGTTTGATCCTTTGTCTGTGTCTCTTTGGTTTGTAGTTGCTTTTGTTGAAAACCTCCAAAGTTGAAGCCAATTTGGGATTAGCTAAGTAGTGAAATTATGCAAAGCTGAAATTTGGGAGTTGGTAGAAGAGCTTGAACTAACTAAGCACCGTTCAGGGGTTGTAATATTATTGAACTCACCAGGAATTTTCATCCTATTTTGGTGCTAAGAGAATTCATGGGCAAATATTCAGTGGTATCAATTGATCTTATGTAGACTTGCTTACACAACAAAGATGCTGATAGCATCAAAAGTTTGCTAGTCATTTTAACTTAAAAAAGACAGACATGGTGCTAGATGGTGGGAACTTGCTACAGGCTAAGCCGTTTTTATATATCAACCTGTTCACAATCCCCATGGGTTGCTGTCTTCTGGTTTTTAAGCACTTTCGTCATGGCATATTGAAATTCATCTTGTTTTGTTAATCCTCAAAGAAATGTGGATGCTATATCCTTTCCACCTGGCAATTTTAAATTGCCCTTTTTTCCTGTATGCCTCAAATATTTGACATCTGTATTAGTTATACTCTCACTTCCATTTCTAATCACGCTTTACATGTCTAATTACAGGGCTATATAAGGGATGGAGCATTTGATCCACGCCGATGGACTGCTCCTGGACAGCTTTCCCTTCGGCTTTGTCCTTGTGACCATGGGGTTGAGACGTCAGAAGTGCCTTTGGACAAGAAATTTTTGACTGAAGATCCCAAAGTAGTAGTTGGGAAGCACTGTGATAGAGGGCATAGATGGATGGTCTCAAAAACAATATCTGACTGTGTCGAAGCGCTGATAGGTGCATACTACGTTGGTGGTGGGTTTATTGCTGCCCTGAAATTGATGAAATGGCTTGGTGTTGAAGCTGAACTTGAACCTTCATTAGTAGAGGATGCGATCAAAACTGCATCTCTTTACTCCTATACCCCTAAAGCTAAAGATATTGAAGACCTTGAGTTGAAGCTTACCTATAAATTTTCTGTCAAGGGATTGCTACTAGAAGCTATAACACATGCTACTGTGCTAGAAGTGGACGTTAGTTACAATTATCAGGTTGGTTAAAGAATAGTCCCTAATTTAGATATAAATATGAATTAATGCTGATTATATATCTCAATAGACAGTTGTTTCTTAAGATATTGCCTGTTTTTAGCTTTAGACTTATTTTCTTGTATGTGGCAGAGACTTGAATTTCTCGGCGACTCAGTACTGGACATTCTCATTACCTGGTACCTTTACCAGAAGCATAAGGATATTGATCCTGGGGAACTGACAGATTTGCGCGCTGCTTCTGTCAATAATGATAATTTTGCTTATGCTGCTGTGAAGAGGGAGCTTCATGTCCATCTTCAACATCACTCTGGATATCTTGAAAGTGAAATATCAGCATTTGTGAAGTCAGTCTCTGATTCTTGTTCACTCCAAGGAAACAAAGCCCCAAAGGTTCTATTACTGTTTCTTGACGGACATTTCACTGTAACCATATGTTATTAACCTCAATGCCAACTGTAGTCTTGAATGTCATCCTAGGATACAACATTGTTCAGCATATGTTACTTTAATCCATTGCTATATATGAAAGTATTTATAGCAGGCTGCTTATATTCATGGGATATTAATTTGTTATAGGTACTTGGAGACTTGGTGGAGAGTATTGCTGGAGCAATACTTATTGATACTAAGCTTAACCTGGATGAAGTTTGGAAGATCGTCAAGCCACTATTATCTCCCATCGTGACTCCTGATAAGCTCGAACTACCTCCGTTGCGTGAGCTCATAGAATTGTGTGACTCGCTTGGCTACTTCTTGAAAGACCATTGCATGGTGAAGGGGGATACCGTGCATGCAGAGCTTAGGTTACAGCTGAAAGATGAGTTGCTGGTTGCTGAGGGATGTGGACAAACTAGAAAAAATGCAAAGGGGCAAGCAGCTCTGAAATTATTGAAGGACTTAGAGGTATGTCTTAGCCAGGAAGATGATTCCTATCCTATGTTTGGTCCTTTTAATTAATGGGCCATTATTCACATGGTAGAAACAGCCTTAGGTAATGTGGAAAGAAAGATAAGAAGAAAGAAACTCATGCTAGGCTTTGTTGTACTTTTGTTCGTGAAAGTTACCATTGCAACTACTGATGTTGCAATGTTTAACTCTTTTGTCAGTGAGGCATTCTTCTTGTTCTTTTGTTTTGTTTCTGAATTTTTTTTCGTTTCTTGGGTTCAAGTGGAGACCAATGAGTTGGTTGCTTTCCGAGTTGCCTCATGTCTATCGAAGTACTATAACTGAAAAGAGAATGCATAGTTAACTAGGTGTTTATTTTTTATCAGAATTAGCTTATTTGAGTCAAGCTTTGCAACTTTTCCAAATTTGGAAAGAGAACTTTCTGATGTTTATGAAATCTGTAAAGATGCTAAAGAATTGTGTTGATAAAGTTTTTACGTGCCTGCATGCATTTACGTTGCATAAAGATCAATTTCAAACTGACCATTACATGGTTTAATAAATTGGAACAAAAACATTGCTCGATAAGACGACTTTATTCTCTGGCATTGCTGTTGCAATTAATGTTGAGCTAGATGACAGTTTCCATCTGGATGGATTAATCAAATTCTTCAGTTATGGATTGCCGATTATCCAAGCTCTAGATTAAGTTATTTCTGACATTATTTTACCCTCATATTCTTACAACAGTATAAAGGAATTTCATCCAAGAAAAAGAAACAAGAGACCAGCCTTGTTGATGTGCCACATTCTTTAGGCTCTGATGGTGACATCTGCAGCCAAGCGAATAATACATGTCCTGCTATGGCTCCATGCAAAAAGCAAAAGACAATACTTTCGAATTTAGAGACGGCCAAAGCTCAACCTAGCAGTGCTTGTAATTCAAATAAGGACATCCAAGGTATGCACACTGAAGCAATTGGTATATTCTTGCAATTTCTTCCTTTAAATATTGAATTCAGCCCAAGTCTTGGGAAGCTTTTCAGGACAATTGATCTTCTTATGCCAGTTTTATGAAAATGGTAAACTTGCCATCCTCTTCAGTACCAACATACCCATCCAACGCTTATCACTTCATTTGATTTTCTAGGCCATATCTATTTTGTAGTGTAGTATAAAGAAGCTAAAGTTCAATCAGACTAAATATTGTTTTACCTTATGTCTAATTAGATACATATCCCTCTATTTCAAGAGAGATGACTTTGTTTGATTCCTCAGCAAGATTAAAGAAGAAGGATTATGTACATTGTTAACTGGAGCGAGATTGAGAGTATTTCAGATAACAGACAAATATTAAAAGTATTGTTAGTTGAAGTATGTCTCAACAGTCTCATTAAGATTAAATATTGAAGTAAAAGCTGAAGGCTTCTATTTGAGGAGAAGGGGTCAAACATTTTGGAAAGGGCTGTACATAATTAAGTCAAATATTCTTAGGATTGGAATGTACATAATATTCTATAATTAGACTTAGTTTATTATGCCCGTTTGAAAGGGAATAGCATTGTGGTGGCCAGGTGATACTCACAAACTTCAATTGATATCCCTGAAAAGTCCATCAGATTTGAAATTTAGTAATGATGTAGCATTGTATAGGCGTTGCAGCCTAATAGTCGCAGCTCTGCCTGCATATTTAGGTGTTGTGTTCAAATCCTACCAAAGGTTGCGCCTTGCTCCTACACCTTCCACTATTCACGGGCCAATACCCCCTCCCAGAAGAAGTGATATAACAGAATTTAGGAGAGGAAATCCTTTTTAGGTGCATAGTGGAGAAAGCATTGTGTAGGGTGATTATGCTTTCTTTTCCATTCTGTGTCACTACTGAATATATATTAAAGTGTTGAAGATTTATAGCTCAGCAGATAGAAGTCAAGTGTAAATTCCTTTTTTTTCTATTACAATTTGCTACATTTCGGTTTAACTCATTATATGCTGAAAAGTAACTTTTTCTGAATATGCTAAGTTGCTAACTATGCATTACTTTTATTTATAAGGTATTAAGATTGGTTGATTGAAAAGAAAATATCCTGCATATTCTATCGATTGCTTTCTATTACAATGTGAAAAGCCCCAGCATCCTCCTGCCTCGGTGAATTAGCACCTGTCTCTTTGTGAATCCAACAGAAGTTACAGCACTTGGATTGAAATTTGTCTTTTGGCATTTTCCAGAATTTCTGAAAATTACTCTCGTGTGAAAATAATGGTTATCTACCTTAGAGATTTGAGTTTTAATGGTACCCTTGCATTTCTTTGTAATGTTCTTTTTTCCTTCTTTTCTTTGTTTTATGTCACTCTTTGATAAAATAATCAGTCACACCAGGAAGTGTTGCCTAATCAAGACAAGACAAATATTCAGTGACTGGTTGGGAGTCTTTTGTGAATCGCGCAAGTCGATCGCGAAGACTGAAAATTCTGGTTTGGGACTTGTTAGCATATGCGGTGTGCAATGCCAACCTTTAAATACACGAGTGAAAAACCAATTCCCTAAACTAACTCCTCTGGAAGAGGAGGACTAAACTACTTGCTAAACAAACTCCTTGAATAAGGAGATTTATTTGAGAAAATAAAGGACTAACAAAATCCTAACTACTAGCTAAAGAATGGGTCAAAGTAGTAAAATAGCTGGTGGTTAACTTATGCTCTAATAGTTCAGTAAGTTTCAATAACACATAATGGGGGCTTTTGAGTCTCTTAACCCTGGACTATCCAGACATTGCTTTGCCTCCTCAACTCAGTCTCTTTACATTAACAAAGTATGTAGCTTTTTTAACATGAAAACTCACGTATCTTTATAAACCATTGTAACCGAGCTCCCCACCCTTTGGTTTGACAAAATCTTTCTCAAAGTTAGATGATTGAAGAAAATCAGTTACTGATGCTCATCTCCTTAAACCCTTGGATTAATGCTTTTCTCCGCTGTACTTGGCAGAAATTGGGCCAATCAACATGAAAAAGGGTGGACCACGCCAATCACTTTATGAACTGTGCAAAAAACTGCAGTGGCCTATGCCTAGTTTAGAGTCAACAGAGCGTAAATCCAAGTAAGTAAAACCAGCTTATCCGCCAACCAGCTCTTTTCCCTCTTGTTTTTATCAAACTATTTCCTAGTTTTTCGCGTATTGAGTGTAAATTCGGGTATGCACAGGTCACTGATTGAATGCGGTGAAGGCTCTGATAAAAGGAAGGTTTACAACACTTTTGCATCTCAAATCTCGTTGACCATACCCGACTATGGTTTGATAGAGCTTACTGGGGATGAAAGAGCTGATAAGAAAAGTTCACAAGATTCGGCTGCACTTCTCATGCTGTATGAGCTTGAACGACGGGGAAAAGTCATAATTGGTAATCAATGAATTGTCATTCTTGCACTAACGCGTACAACTTATCTTATATAGCATTTTACGTCTTATCTACCTCTTAGTGCTATATATGTATATTTGCTAANAGTGTAAATTCTCACATTCTTGCACTAACGCGTAGATCTTATATAGCATTTTAGGTCTACCTCTTAGGCAGGGAAAAACAGAAAAGTGCTATGTATATTTGCTAATTGGGAGGTAATAACAATCCAATTCTTGCATATCAAGAGGGCATAGCTTCCATTCCATACATTATTGGAAATTCACTAGAAAATAGGAATGAACTTGCTGAAATGTAAAAGATAGATCAATCTTATGGCCCTCTATTTATTTCTTACGGTTTCACTAATCTATTGTGCAGCATTTTTGTTAGGGAGGAAAACGGGATACTTGCTATCCAACATTTGTCTTTTACAGGGCTTAACTAGTTTATTTAATCTTTAGTCCTTTTACTCTTTCTTATTAGAAGAACTGGTTTTACTTATATAATATTTGTTCTTGGTAGATATATTAGTTTTTTTTTTTTTTTAAAATGCAAAAATAGAAAATATTTGTCGTTTTAAATCCAAATTAACGTATTTTACTTTTTTTTTTTCTCCTTAAAAAGAGTGTACTATGCTAGTTTGAAGACTAAGACATTTTTGGGATTTTGTACAAAATATAGGAGTGTATTTCCGGCGATTTTGATTACAGTGGTAAGGGGTTTGTTTGTTGGGAAATAGTTCGAACTAGTGGTAGCAAGTTAGTAGGCACTTACGAGCTTGAATTGTTGGTGGGTGCCAAATCATTTTCAATTCTTTCCTTGAACGTATAAAAGATACATTGATGTGCAATTTATGTTTTCTCTAGCTATCTCTTGATTCCTCTAGCTAAACTCTTGAAGCCTTTTCCTTCCATTTGTGACAAGTGATCATTATGTATCATTTGGTATCAGAGCTTTTTGAACCTCGTCTTATGATCCACTATGCCACAGAAATTATATGAAAGAAATGTAAGCGTTTATAGAGAAGCCGTGTGGAGAGATATTAACAAATAGCCGTTTGGAGAAACAACAACAGCCCAGTAAAATTTCATTAGTGGGGTCTAGGGAAGATAGTGCATATGCAGATCTTACCCCCACCCCGAAGGGATAGAGAGGTTGTTTCCAAAAGACCTCCGGCTCAAGAAAACGAAAGGACAAAAGGAAACAATATTAGTATCACCATAGAAGTCATAGGAAAAATAGGAACAACATAAAATCCAGAAGAAAGATGCAAAGCAAAAGAGATAGCTAGTAAATAGATCCTGCACTGAAAAAGCGAAATAGTAAGACACAACGTTGCCACTAGCTGTCTTAGACAAAAATTCTACTAGACTAGTCTCACAAAGGTACGAGTGAGACAAGAATCAATTACCTCCTAACCTACAATTCTAATACTCGACCTCCACATCTTCCTATCAAGTGTCATGTCCTCGGAAATTTGAAGCCTCGCCAAAAACCGTTTGGAGAGAGATTAACAAATACCCGTTCCAAAGAAATTGCTTCTTGGAACCTCGTTTGTTATCCACTTTGCCACATCTAAGTCTCGGTTGTCTGCTGGAACTTATTTCTACTCAATCACTATTTCACTTGTGAGTAATCTAGTGGAAAAGAAGAGGGATTAGCATAATCCCATATCATTAGGGTTGACCGGGAGGCGGGAACCCATACTTGAACCTTAACCCCTGGCCTAATTAATCTTTGCTGATAACTATCTTAATTTTCTGGTTTTTCTTCTAAGCTAGTTCCATTTTTCATTCAATCATTATCTCTGGCTTTAGGCATGTTCCACATACTATCTGGTATTTGTTTGGATTACGGGGCGCTACATAAAATCGAAATATAATGTTTGACGTTAGCTCGTTTCGTAGGCAGTAGAAAAATTAACAAGTACCCATCTCATTTTATTTAATCTCAACCAAGTGACCAACTTGTTTGACCAAAAGATGTCAAAAACTTTTTGATTAAAACAATTAATAATAGTGATGAAGTCAATCTTAGTCAAGCATAGTAAACCCCAGATCTGGAAATGAATCAGAAAATGATGAATAAAATGAAATAAGAGCGAGCAATCTTCATTCATCTTTGTTATTTCCTCTTTCATGATGCCAAAGAGGTCATCGATATTACATCTTTTCTAGAAGAAAGTAGAAGGAGAGAATACAGAGAGTGAGAACCCGGAAAAAAAACCCCTCTTTGGGGAGTCCATCCCCTATATATAGTTCTGAGACCATGATCACCTTCTCCGGTCGGTATGCCCTTACGCTGTGGCCTTTTTGTCGTTAATTAAATATTGTCTTTTGACCCACTGTACACTGTGGGTACTTAGACCGAAGTAGGTCGTGATGGTCCTCGCTACCCCGCCCCTTAGGCAGGGTTCTAACTGGGTCGGCTACTGTGGTCAGATTTTGACCTATACAGTTTGTCCCTCCGCCCGTCGGGGTCGTATATTGGTGGGCCCGGCGGGCGGATTATGATTATGAACACTTAAGAGAAATTTGACTGTTTGTTCCTTGGACGTAGTCTTTGGATCGAGGCAATGGGACGGCGCTCGGTGCCCTTGGGACCGTCTCGACCATTCGGAATAGAAGCGTTTGTTCGATTTGAAATGTCGTTCGTGGCTGCTGTCATTATGACACACGTTTCCTGGTGATTGAACCATTTCATGCCCTTATCAGTTTCGATTGGCGACTCTTGGGTTTCTCGCTTGGGAAATTTATGTCCCTATAAATAGAGGAAAGACACCATTCGATTGGTACACTTTCAAGCCTTCGTTGAGAGAACATTGTAGATCTTCCTCTTCTCAAATACTTTCAGATTTTCGATCTTCTTCGGTTAGCCGGAAATTTTCACCCCCATATTTTCTTTTTCTTAAGCCCTTTGTTCCATTAAATCGATACAAATGGCTGGTGGTCTTCCTGCGATGATAATCCTGCCGCAATTCCAGCGTTAGCAAGTGATGTTCCCGCTCCCGGAGGAGTGGAAGTGATAGAGGATAAGGGGATTCCGACGACGGCCGAAATATTGCCTCGCCCTGGAAAGCCGTGGACCAATTTCCACAGTCCCGCTGGAGAAGAGCCGGAACCTGCTCCCTCTGTTATGACTGAGGCGGATATTGCGGAGCTGAGGGCAAAATGGGGGATCCCTCGCCATGTTTAAATGCTGCCAGCGGTGGGAGACGATATCATACATTTTGACCGCCCGGGGTATTGTGCGTTCTACGCCTATCCCTTTATCGTCGGGTATACGCTTCCTCTTCCCCTCTTGGTAGTAGATTTCTGCAGTTTCTATGAGGTGTGTCCGGCTCAACTTTCGTCGTATTTGTATAAACTGTTTCTTATGCTGCTCAAGTTCGCGGAGCCTGCTGGTCAGGAGGTCACGTTGAGGCACATGCTCAATATCGTTTCCCCTCAACTCATCCGTGACACGATGATCCATATGCGCTATCGAGGGACAAAAGGGTCTGGTGGTGAGGATGGACGGCAGGTCCAACCGTCGCTTTTATGAAAACTATTTTTATGTGCGGACTGAGCACCTCGTGGCGGATCTTGCAGGAATCCCTAAAAGATGGAACTTTGCCTTTAAGTTTGTGCCTTTAGTCGGAATGATAGTCTAGCGCTTTCCTTTGGGCGACGATTTAACTGATTTTGTTTTTGCAGCCATAAGATTACCTCATGCGCCTGCTAACGATATTCGTGAATGGGTGAATTCCATTCTTCCTCATACGGCGAGAGTTCGTGAATGTTCGTCCTTCTGCGAGAAATATGGATGTAAGCCCCTTATTGGTAAGTAGCTTTACCGCAGTATGTTTTCCACTGCAATTTGGGTTTGTTGCTTATACGACATTTATCGTTAGCAGGGAGATTACGAAGGGCGAGGGATCCTCCAATTGCATTTCGTCAGCCGACGTCCTCTGCTCGGCCCGTACCGAGGCCTACTGCCCGACCTACTACAAGGGCTGCTCAAATTGAATCTGCGGCCATAGTTGTGTGCACGGAAGCTGTTCCTCAATCTGGGCTCCGACTTCTGCTGTCTACCCAACGGGGGAGTCTTCCCATGCTGAGGATGGCGAGGGACCGTCAAAGAGACGGAGGGTGAAGTCTGAGACGGCTCCATCAACCGTGATATGTTTAGAGGACGATGTCCCCTTAATAGAGTCAGAGACGAGGAATTATGCTAACTCGTCCACAGAGGTGGAGCCGGTCGCTGTGATCAACCTATCGACAGAGATTCCGGCCATTATGAGTGACTAACAGAATACTGCGACGGAGAGTCGGAGTCCCGAGGCCGTTGCTGTTACTTTGGATGGGCCTTCATCTTCTAGACCAGGTCGTGCTTCTTCTTCGGCCGCAGAGAAGGGAAAAGGCATCATGGTCGATGACTACGAATCTGAGTCTGCTCTTGATCCTTATGATGTCAGGATGTTTGAAGAGGGACTTACCCAATCGGCGAAGGCCCTCTTCAAACACCCTCGTCTAAATATTAACCCATCGTTGTTCGATCGAGGTCGAACTCTACTCTTTGGAAAAGGCCTTTGGCCTTAAGGGTGTTATTTCAAACTTTCGTTGAAATATTAACCCGTCGTTGTTTGATCGAGGTTGAACTCTGCTCTTTGGCGAAGGCCCTTGGCTTTAAGGGTGTTATTTCAAACATACGTCGAAATATTAACCCGTCGTTGTTCGATCGAGATCAAACTCTTCTCTTTGGCGAAGGCCCTTGGCCTTAAGGGTGTTATTTCGAACTTTCGTCGAAATATTCACCCGTCGTTGTTCGATCGAGGTCGAACTCTACCCTTTGGCGAAGGCCCTTGGCCTTAGGGGTGTTATTTTGAACTTTCGTCGAAATATTCACCCGTCGTTGTTCGATCGAGGTCGAACTCTACCCTTTGGCGAAGGCCCTTGGCCTTAGGGGTGTTATTTTGAACTTTTGTCGAAATATTCACCCGTCGTTGTTCGATCGAGGTCGAACTCTACCCTTTGGCGAAGGCCCTTGGCCTTAGGGGTGTTATTTTGAACTTTTGTCGAAATATTCACCCGTCGTTGTTCGATCGAGTCGAACTCTTCCCTTTGGCAAAGGCCCTTCGCCTTAAGGGTGTTATTTCAAACTTTCATCAATATGTTAACCCGTCGTTGTTCGATGGAGGTCGAACTCCGCTCTTTGGCGAATGCCCTTGGCCTTAAGGGTGTTATTTCGAACTTTCGTCCAAATATTAACCCGTTGTTGTTCGATCGAGGTCGAACTCTTCTCTTTGGCGAAGGCCCTTGGCCTTAAGGGTTTTATTTCGAACTTTTGTCGAAATATTAACCCGTCGTTGTTCGATCGAGGTCGAA